ATCCCCGGGATATCATGTCACACCGACTGGCATCCCGGCGGTAAAGTCCAACTTCATCTAATACGTACCGAGGTCAGGAATGAGTGGAGCCATACCTCCAATGCCCATAAGTTTTTACGCTTGGAAACATTCGTCAGGGTCGCCAACTGAATTTCGTTCAGAAAACAAACACGACTCCGGGTTTTTTTTTAGAACGCATCGCTAATTCCTAAGCCCGCCAAAAATCTCCCAAAAGTAATCTTAATGTTTTATCTCGGTCTCACTAGTAGACGTTTTCTACTGTAGATAGCAGCAGCACCTTAGCCACATGTTTAACCTCTCTTAACGTCGAAAATGGGTGTCTTTTGGGTTGTAGCCCTGATGATGGAGGCACCAAGGACCTCTGAAACGACCGTAAACGTCCACCGCCCCGAGAACCTCAAATCCTTCCTCTTAAACATAATTGAGTTTTACTATCCTAACATTAGGTGACCTGTATACGATCACGATGTTTCTCCAGCATTCTACGCCTCTCGCTTCACGTTTTTCGTAGATCCATATGTTTTACTGCTCGCTTTGTGTCCAGACATGCAATTTACGTAAGCACTCATGAAAAGTCACTGAAGAAGTCAGTTCGAATGCCTTGTTTAGCAAGAAATTCCACGATGTCTTTGCGGTTAACTATGGAGCTACATTTAAGGTGTTCCACGCTGACAGAGCTTCATCGGAGGAAGTTCTGATAAGGAACATTTCTTATTCTCATCTGCACGTGGTTTCCACGTGTTATTTGTCAATGTTCAAACTCCGTCAACCCCCCTGAGTTTCGCGTAAGGATAACGCAAGCCATACACGTACAGCGATGGTAGCGCTGTATGCGGAGGAAACGAGAACTTCTCGTCCTACTTACCTACTTTATAACTCGATTCTCGCCCAACAGCCGACCACAGACTTAAGGAAACTTTCTCCATTCCCAGAAATCACGAGGCACAACTGCTTTGTGTAGGATCTGAAAGAAAAAAAAATATTAATAAGGATTTTTAGAAATTTTGCCGTAACACGAAGATACAAAATGATCCTCATTTTCTGTAGGACACACGATACTGTATCTGTGCGTATTTTTTATACAGGAAATGTATTGTATTACACGCTGTGGCGGAAGTAGGGTAGCCAACTTAACATTCAGTTTTCGTTCTTATGACATATTACTTGAAGATTAGGGCTTTTGTCCACAAAACGAGTGTTTGATATTCAAAACTACTCAACGGATTCTGATAAAAACTTCATTTTGAGGGACGAGTTTAATTTTGGCATGTAACCCCTCCTCTACACGAAATTCTAGACTAATTTTATTTTTAAGATAGTGTAGTTGCGTCATATTGTGACTTATTAAATTAAAATTAATTATTTTGTTTTCCGTCAAATCACAATGTATTTAAAATAAGATAATTAAAATATCATTCTGTGTTCCATATCGAATAATCGACATTTCCAATTGTAAATCGATTATTCGATATGGAACACAGAATGATATTTTAATTATCGATTTACAATTTACAATTGGAACATTTCCAATTGTAAATCGATTATTCGATATGGAACACAGAATGATATTTTAATTATCTTATTTTAAATACATTGTGATTTGACGGAAAACAAAATAATTAATTTTAATTTTATTTTTCTAAAAGAAATTAACTCGCCTTAAAAGGTAACATGTTATATACAGTAATAAACCTTTTTCGATGTGGTATGGTATTTAGTTAAATACAAAGGAAAAAATTTACGTTTTTACAATATTAGTATATAAATTTAACACGATGAGTTTGTGCATACGCCATGATGTTATTACAGATTTCAGGAAACGTATAAAGTCGGCGTGGCCCTCAGTGGTATAAGGGTCATATAGAATTTCATAAAAATCGATCAGCTGGTTGGTTGAAAAATTGTCTCGCAGGACAGACGCATTTAAATAACATTAATTAATTTATGTATTATATATTTTAACGTTAGGCGAAGTTCGCTCAAGAGCGATCCACGAAGGCCGGATGTTCCAAAGTCGTTCTCCTCCATTCTGGTCCATTGACTGTTGCATTTTCGTTAAATAACACCCATGAACCTGTTTGACATTAAATGTTGGAGTTGTGCAACAAATAAAGAATTTTCACTTCAGAACTCGAAGCAAACTACGCTCTGGCAGACAATGGAAACTGACGTCGCCCTAGTCCCACGGTTCTTGTAATGTCACGTTAGAAATGGACTTCCGGTTTAGGGGGGGACTGCCCTGAAACAGGTGTTCAGAGGGGTGGCTCACTTAATACGAAGTAGCTATCAGCAAGATCAAATATATTATCGTGTTTGAAACTCAGAAGGCGATCACAAATTGGTACACTGAATATTTTCAATTTTAGACCTTGAGATTTTTTTTATTTTAAAAGCTGTGAAATGTGGTATTTTTTTTATTGGCGGAGTTGGTAACCATGTAAACGGCGTCATACTCGAAGAGACCACAATCCACATTTACAGTCGTAGCTCACAGGGAGATACAGACTTTGTCCTATTTAGAAGTAATAATTACTGTCTTCGGTCCGCTAATCCAACTCTGCAGGCGTTCATTATGTGAAAATTATTTTTTTTAAGAACGTCAGTTCAAGATTTCTGTCTTTGGGTAGTCGCGCCGTAACCGACGTTTCAGAGGTCATACTGCCTCCGTCATCAGAGTATAAAGATTTCTGTCTTCTGGATTGTTGCGCTGTGAAGTCTGGCCGATGTTAACCGACGTTTCAGAGGTCATACTGCCTCCGTCATCAGAGTATAAAGATTTCTGTCTTCTGGATTGTTGCGCTGTGAAGTCTGGCCGATGTTAACCGACGTTTCAGAGGTCATACTGCCTCCGTCATCAGAGTATAAAGATTTCTGTCTTCTGGATTGTTGCGCTGTGAAGTCTGGCCGATGTTAACCGACGTTTCAGAGGTCATACTGCCTCCGTCATCAGAGTATAAAGATTTCTGTCTTCTGGATTGTTGCGCTGTGAAGTCTGGCCGATGTTAACCGACGTTTCAGAGGTCATACTGCCTCCGTCATCAGAGTATAAAGATTTCTGTCTTCTGGATTGTTGCGCTGTGAAGTCTGGCCGATGTTAACCGACGTTTCAGAGGTCATACTGCCTCCGTCATCAGAGTATAAAGATTTCTGTCTTCTGGATTGTTGCGCTGTGAAGTCTGGCCGATGTTAACCGACGTTTCAGAGGTCATACTGCCTCCGTCATCAGAGTATAAAGATTTCTGTCTTCTGGATTGTTGCGCTGTGAAGTCTGGCCGATGTTAACCGACGTTTCAGAGGTCATACTGCCTCCGTCATCAGAGTATAAAGATTTCTGTCTTCTGGATTGTTGCGCTGTGAAGTCTGGCCGATGTTAACCGACGTTTCAGAGGTCATACTGCCTCCGTCATCAGAGTATAAAGATTTCTGTCTTCTGGATTGTTGCGCTGTGAAGTCTGGCCGATGTTAACCGACGTTTCAGAGGTCATACTGCCTCCGTCATCAGAGTATAAAGATTTCTGTCTTCTGGATTGTTGCGCTGTGAAGTCTGGCCGATGTTAACCGACGTTTCAGAGGTCATACTGCCTCCGTCATCAGAGTATAAAGATTTCTGTCTTCTGGATTGTTGCGCTGTGAAGTCTGGCCGATGTTAACCGACGTTTCAGAGGTCATACTGCCTCCGTCATCAGAGTATAAAGATTTCTGTCTTCTGGATTGTTGCGCTGTGAAGTCTGGCCGATGTTAACCGACGTTTCAGAGGTCATACTGCCTCCGTCATCAGAGTATAAAGATTTCTGTCTTCTGGATTGTTGCGCTGTGAAGTCTGGCCGATGTTAACCGACGTTTCAGAGGTCATACTGCCTCCGTCATCAGAGTATAAAGATTTCTGTCTTCTGGATTGTTGCGCTGTGAAGTCTGGCCGATGTTAACCGACGTTTCAGAGGTCATACTGCCTCCGTCATCAGAGTATAAAGATTTCTGTCTTCTGGATTGTTGCGCTGTGAAGTCTGGCCGATGTTAACCGACGTTTCAGAGGTCATACTGCCTCCGTCATCAGAGTATAAAGATTTCTGTCTTCTGGATTGTTGCGCTGTGAAGTCTGGCCGATGTTAACCGACGTTTCAGAGGTCATACTGCCTCCGTCATCAGGGCGATGATGATTCTAAAACGAACCAGCCACTGCAGAAAACGTTGAAATAGTAACGGTTTTGATGACATGTAGTTTTTTATATAAAATTAATGACGTAGTTATTTTGACTGGACAAAGTGTACTGTGTTCCCGTATTAATGTAATTTACTGGCACGTGAAATGTTTTATTTTTCAGACGATGATACAGAATACTCTCGTTTCGTTTGCCTTGGGTATCTTTATCAATTCAAAGCTAGGATGACTCAATTACATGACCGACTGAACCTTGTGATGACTCAGGTTGGAAATACTGGTATGTATGCGTGCTTAGGCTCAACTGAATACAGATATATTCAGATGCACATCAGCTTCAATGAAATTAAAGTTGATAAAGCCTCTCAACTGTTTCTAGAGGGACCGTAGAATGGGCCAAACAGGATAATTGTGATTTATCTGTACAATTACGGCATATGCATTCGGGGGTTGTGGGCATTATGGGTTTCCAGAATGCCCACTGAAGAATTGAAACGGAATTGAAGGTACGAATTCGAACAGTTCGTCCTGAAGAGGTTTTCCTCGCGACACGAAAGCTTTGGTTTCACTGTCTTGGACCACCATACATTTGACCTCAGACTTCGATGCCTTCCCAAAACTAAAGGAACGTCTGAGAGGACATCAATTCGTGTCCGACGTCGAAGTCAGGACCTCACGTCAACAAGACACACAATTCTGTTACGACGAAAGTACTTAAACGTTGTGTGGACCACTGAGGCGATTATGTTAAGAAGTATTTGTGATAAATTATCGAATAATTTTTTAAAAAAAATACAGTTTTTATTTCATTGAAGCGTGTATTTATTTGTGTTATTTGGGGGTGGGGTGGGGGGGGTTGAAGTGTTACAGACGATTCGTGATTATACAGGTCATCAGTATTGATAGGTTAGTGAAACCTTCGACTTACGATGGGCTCAACATGAAGCTAGATCTTAGATGGAGCTGACCAGTGGCAGTCTTACGTGTCAGTGTGCTTGATTGAACTCGATGGTTTTACTCGCAGAGTGAATAAAATTTAATTTAATGTGGAAACTGAGCTACAGGAATAAATCTGAACCACACACTTTGACTCATCATGGAGCCTAAAAAGGTCATTCAGATTTCCTACAAGACAGTCGAAAGGTGTGGGTTAATGAAGATTCTCTGCTCCTTCAGTTAGGTTAGGTCACCATGAAGATCTAATTGCATTGAGCTATTAGTGAGAGTTCTCACTTAACCCTTTGAAGCCGAAGATCGTCTGAATATTATTTATGAATTCAGTCCGTACCGCGAAGAAAACACTACACCTCACCATTACGAAAATCAGCTGGTTAACCCTTTGAAGCCGAAGCTCGTCTTCATAATATTTACGAATCCAGACCGTACCGCGAAGAAAACACTTCACTTAACCATTAGAAGTCGAATCAGGCGGTACCACATAATATTTAACAAAAGAACATCCCGGTCAAAGCCTTAAGATGCTTGAGGATGCGAACTGGATTCAGCTGGCTCACGGTGGAGTCCAGTCGCTGGCTATTTTGAACATTGCAGTGCATAAAAAGTTGAGAATAACTTGTTCAACCGAGGAAGATCGTCTTCTCTTAACATTTTACACTGGAGTTAATAAAAGGAAAACTTTGGACGACAGCTGTAGCACCAAAATGGCGAATGCTGTGATTTTCACTTGTTAATCTTCCCCATTTTTTGAATTATTCTGTAAAATACTGTTTATTCGACGTCGGACAAAGAAAGATTTCCAAGGATGCTTCCAGGCTTGGCAGCGGCGCTGGGATCGTTGTGTTCACTCCCAGGGGAACTACTTCGAGGGTGATGGATGAATTTAATACCTGAGATAAGTGTACGGGTTTTTATACGCGCAGTCTGGAAACCTTCCGATCGCACCTCGTAAGATCGCGCCAATTACGTGTGTGTAACAATGCCATCGTGAATGTCGAGTAGGTGTGGCAGGGGCTGTTATTATGTATCCCTGGATAGCTCCTGGGTTCGAATCCCAATGAAGATACTTTCTGTAGAACTGAATCTGAAAATTACCAGCGCCAAGGAAAGATGAGATTGTGGAAACGAAGGCCACGACTCCGATAAATCTGCCCTGGGCACGATGGAGGAATTTGTTCTGTCGAATGTGGTGGTTTCATGAGTTTTGGTCGCACTTTTTAACTGAGCTAATGTTCTTTAAAATTTTGCTGTACCGCGTGTGATGTACATCTATTTTATCTATCTTTATCTGTTCTGTTGGTAGATAACAATATAAGACATGATAAAGGTTGCACACATCTTCCCAATTCTGTCAGTGTGTTTGACTTCGCTAAGAAAAACAGAGGAGTTTGCTCCATGCAACCTGGAAGTAATTTATCAAAAACTGACAAGTAATTTCCTCTCTCTCTCCCTGTAGAAATGTGTAATGAATATTCATTATCAATATAGTAAGTTTATAGATGATTATTTCCATGTTTCAGAGCCCTGCCATGATGGGGCTCCAAGTTACTGCAAGCAAACGTAAACTCGAGGACGACGGTAAAGGACAGCAGGTTCTGCAGCCGGCCAAAGTTGGCCGCACTGGAGAGACCGTACGGGAAGCCGCGGTGGATGCGGCCCCAACGCCCGACCTGGACGTCTGGAGGGTGGACAGCACCAGCTCCGTCCTGGCATCCACTCTGCTGGGAAATTCTTCTGAGGCCGATCTCATCGAGGACGAAGACGACGACGAGGACGAAGATGACGATGATGATGAAGAAGAAGATGAAGATGATGATGAGGATAAAGGAGGAAAGTACTTGCCTGCAGGACGAGGTTATCATTGTGTTCGCTATAGTGGTGACAGTACAGAAGTGGGATCGGGGTGTTACTCTCATGCAGTAGAACTTAAGCCGATGGGTTATTATGGAACAACTGAAGATCAAGGAGGATATTCTTCTGGTAGTAGTTCGCCAGGACAGTACGGCTCCAGGCAGCAGCACTATCAGTCGCGGAGCGTCTCGCAGTATTGGGGACCGCAGGGTGCCAGCGAGTACTACGGCCAAGACCCAAGTTCCCAGCAGACAATTCGTTGCGACGAGAATGGAAAGTCATACCTGGACCTTGGTAGTTCAAGTGCGAGGTATGTGAGTGGTGCTAATAGTAGTAGGAGTAGTAACGCAAGCAGTGCGAGTGGTCGTCACAGCGTAGCGTCAAACTCAAAGTGCTGCGATGGCAGTCGGACTAACTGGTGTAACCAGGGACCGAACACGGCGTGCTATAGGCAGAGGCGACTCGCGGTCCTCAACATCTCCATGTGCAAGCTGGGTAGGTACAGACAGTTTCCTGACCCCAGCCTCCACCGATCTGTGCTCATCTGCAACACGCTGAGGTACATCGAACGTGAGATGGAGCAGGAAGGATTCTTCTTCAACAACGCCACAGGCACGGTTCAGGCACCCGTGCCACCACCGCCCTCCCCAACACCTCATCCAGCAGTGGATCCAGACCCCAGCTACCATCATCCTCAGTTCCCTGAAGTGCCTGCTGCCAACATGAACTATTCTGCACCCAATGCAGCGTACCGTTCTCTGAATCCCTGCCCTGAAATTGTCCCTCAGTACGAGCAGAACTTGAGGGAGCTTTCGACGTCAGGACGGGCAACTCCGTTTCCCAGCCCCGTTCATCCGAGCTATGAAACTGATTCTGGAGTAGGGGATGAAGAGTCAGGACGAGGCATTAACTGGGGTTCTGTCCTTAGCCTGTCGAGTCAGTCAGACCTTGACCCTCTCAACAACAACGAGTTGTATCCTTCATCCCCTTCGCAATCCTCGTCGTCGTCGTCATCCTCATTGCCGGGGCTAGGTCCGAATGATTATTCTGGCTCTCTTGGACTACTGGGGGACATGGACCTAGGTCATGAGTTTGATGACTTCCTTCCAAGTTGGAAATTGACACCGCTGAGTGCCGACGACATCCTCAAGTCCGTCCCTTCCTCCGAGTTTTCAGGACGGCAAGGCGAAGGAGAGCTTGACAGCATCATGCATGTGCTGGTTGGAACGTAATGAGAAAGTTCAGGACAGGCGGCGAGGACTTCACATGTTGCCTGTCTTGACTTCTCTCGTCAGTGACGGTCGCGTGCGATCTGTCCAAGAAGACGTTGGCCACCGACATCATCGAGGTTACCGGTTGGTTGTTTTGCTTATTGATCTTAATGTGCTCAGGTTGTGAAGGGCTGTCTGAAGGCGGAGAACGCGCGCGAATCTTAAATCCGACTTGACAGTCCGTGGTCCTTCGTAGAAGAGTCGAACTGAAAGTTATTACTTAGTCCGAGACCATATGGTGGATATTTTAAATATTGTATGAAACTTGTTCTTCGCAAAAATAATGCTGCAGTGATTGCTTTGCACGAGCAGGACATGGTGTCATTGAAAGGAGCCACAGGAATTGCAATTTAGACGTAGTATTTTTTTAATTAGTATTGGGATGTACTAATGGTTCATTGCTGTTATTTTGGATTCTTAGTAGGCCTACAAGAAATTCTAGCATGCTGCTGCACATTTACTTCAACGTAGTAACTAGTTCTCAAAACATCACATCCATCGTAAGATTCGAGGTTTTCACGGCGGTGAGTATGAAGATTTATGTCTTCTGGGCTGTTGCGCCGTGTAGTCTGGTCGATGTTAACCAACGTTTCATCGCCCTGATGACGGAGGCAGTATGACCTCCGAAACGCTGGTAAACATCGACCAGACTACACGGCGCAACAGCCCAGAAGGCAGAAATCTTCATCGTATCCATAGTCAGGTCCATATTTCATTGCTGAATCAAAGTCAGTTGCATTCACATGTTCTCTAAAGTTTTCAGTGCGTCGTACTGCTCAAATCATTGCTAAGCATGCTCAATGACTTTATTATTATTATTTTATAATATTATTACTGAATTTTTAAGGGCTTGAAATAAAGTTGTCCTACGTTGCCATGGATATTTTTAAGCGACTGTTGCCATATATGATTTTGATCTTATAATAATTGCAGTCATTACATTCTTTCCCCTTGCTGTATAATTACATCAGCAATTTTTAAAAAAATCAAAGGATATATTTTTGACGATACATAAGGTGCACCAAGAGATTTCACTGTTGATTTCTGGTATTGTTCAAGTGATGTCTTCTTGAAAGTGCGCAGAATGGCAACTTTACCAAGTGCTCATGTAGTTGTTGCTAGTGTGTACAAGGGTTTTATTCCTTGCCGTGAAGTAGGCCTTGAGCCCACTGCGAGTGGCGTTGTGAAACCCCAAGTGACAAATCGTGTCCATTTGTACATAACTCGTTGAACATTTCATACTGTTCAGGACATACAACTTTCCTTTTTCTGGAGTGTTCATCTGTGTAATCATTTTGGTCCAGTATGTAGACGTGCCATAAATTTATAGTCGCACGTACCGGTCGCAGTTTTGTACTTGTATTTAATTCTTAACTAAGAAGTTAAATTAGTCCTTCGTAAATGACAGCATTTTCCCAGAACATGAAAAAAAGTATTTATTATATATTGTGGCATCTTCACGTACAAATTAATCTATTACGACGTGCTAAAAGTATACTAAGCACATTAGGAATAATATATATTATCATTTACTGAGTTCAAAGCAATTCTGATGTAGATCAGACCAATTTTAAGTCGCACAGAAGTGGGTATCAGTTACTGTTATTTGGCCGAGCACGGAGTGACTTTTTCCTTCGTAGGGCTAGCGATTTAAGATTGACATCTTCTGGGATGTTGCACCGTGTAGGAATTTACTGACATCTCAGAGGTGCTTGCTGCCTCCATAATCAGGGCGATACAGCAAGCACCTCTGAAACATTGGTAAAGTTCTACCAGACTACATTGCACAATATTCCAGAAGACTGGCATCTTTATGTTTATTGCCATGAGAACCTGCAATCTCGCCATGTAAATGATTGTTTTCATCAGTATTTGGGGACGTGAGGGAAGAATTCAAGGATGCGCAGTTTGTCGACTTCCGTCGCTTGGCAACGAATCTTTAAGTCGTGAAGAGGCCACGTGCTTCCTTCAGATTAATTTATTTTTTTTGTAAACTGACTACTGATGTGTTTGAATTTTTTTTTCATATGAGGGAAAATTCATACTTATGTGAAAATATTACATCCGATGAACGTCTCTTGGCGCAGTAATATGATGAAACTAATGGTTACAATTTCGACACGGCTTGCCACCACCAAGTTTTCTCAAAATAACACAAATTTACATTCTCTTCCTGCTGTACTCCAGAATAATAATGGAAACATATTTTCAGAATTGTATATTTAAGTGCTTTTTCACTGAAATAGGTAAATGTCATGATCTCAACGTATGACTTATATTTTTTAATTGAAATAGGTTGGTTACCTCTTTCCTGACACCAGAATGAGATTCATTACGTTTAACAATATTGCAAATAGTGGATTACGACATTCGACGTATCTGTAATGTTTTAATTATCCGACTAAATTTATCGGTATGCAGTACATAAATAATATCTCTGAATAACCTCGGCGTTTCAGTCGTAACAGATCAATTCTACCACAATACTGTGATGAAGGAACACCTGGAGTGTTATATATTTTTCAAATAAATGACGAGTTATTTGTGATTTCTTGTTTTCCCATAGCTTCTTCATTAACGTGATTAAGAATAGGCTACGAGATGGCAGTCAGTGAAGTTGGTTGATAACGTGGAGGAAGGCATCTGTTATGAGATCGTAAACTTCTCGGGGAAGGTACGAGATTCTTGTAGGCTTAAATTTAAATTGTTCTAAACAGTATGAAATCTTCGCCCACCTGAAGGTTCAACAGAGAAGGTATGGGATTCTTACAGTCTTGAATCTAAAGTGAAAACAAGAAGTTTTGTTTAGAACTCTGCGTGGATGCGTGTGTGCGCACGCATGAGAGAGATGTAATCAGCCTAATTACACATCTTTAGGCAGACGTCCCAGCCCGTTCGTCTATCTGCTGAGCCTTCAGTGTATATAATACTCGCTGTGAAGTGAGTAGATGTAAAGTAGGTATTTTGTAAAATAAACAAGAGGTATTCCTTTATATTATGGTTTTGATAGCCACAAGGACATTACTTAAAATTGATACTCTGTCCCCTGGATCTCCCACTGTAAATAACATATATGAAGGGATTGTATAATGTACATAGTAAGAAAAATCATATATATCTATATAAATATATTTTGAAATCATTCAGGAGGAAGCTTCCCAATAAATATAATAATTATATAACAATATTAATATTTTGATTATCATACAAAGTCTAGTCCGATAATGTTCCACTGAGGGTGGCCATTGTGGTTGATTCAGGAAACTTACGTTGTCATCAATGCTACAAGTGTCCTTTTGGCTGTCACTTAATGAATCATAGAGTATTAAATATTATATATTATAATTAAAAAATGTCACAATTTTACAAGTAGCTGATCTGTGTAGCTCAGGATACCATTATGAATGTTTCACGATGTGTCGGCCACAAGCTGTGCTTCACTGCAGACCAGTCTGCTTCTCCAGCAAAATAGAAAATTAATCGCCACACAGGTAGTCGAGCGGGCACATATGATACAGTATGAAATATCTTCGTGGGACTTGGAGTAATCATTTACAAATAGCTTAATTTTTATGTGATCTCAAACCTTGTTCCATTTTTACATTCAGGCAAAGAAAAGAAGAGACAGATTACGTGTCGAAACATTATGATCCTGTCTCTTAAGCGGCCCATCCACATACGAGTCTTTCTCGGCGAGCTCGACTCGTGAGCCGGGCTCGGATATATTTCACCACGCACGCGTGGCAGACTCGGCTCGTGACACCCCACCCACAGACGAGTCTGGCTCGATGGAACCCAAGCCGAGTCGGACTCATACGTGGACGGGCCGCTTTAAACTAAGCTCTGAGATGGCCAAAGTAATTGGTTGTGATATTCACTGGAGAAAAGACATGGTCAATGCAGCATTGCCAGTGACCTCTGCTGGACAATTTGAAAATTATTGTGCTGTGATATTATGTACAATTCTGTTACATCTAACACATTGGCTGCTAATGTTAGTTAATATGTAAAAAAAAAATAAAACTCTGTAACCGTATAAGAGTAAGTGATGAGAATGCAATGAGTATAGTCCACATCCAACTCAAATTGTTAACAATATTTCAGATGAACGAAAACTCTCGGATTATAATTGCTGTCAGTGCTTAATTGGTTCGTTATCTTCCAAACTGTCATCTGTACTTCACAGCTGTTGTGAAAAATCTGGTCTTGCGCGAATGAAATGCCATTTATCATTGATGTACGCGGTAGGCCGTATTCTAAATGGTACGAAGTTAAACAACATAACATGCTACCAGTTTTATTTGATCAGTATTGCTTCAAGGTGTTGACGAGTCTTAAAAATTCATCAAACCATTAAACTATTATCCCTGTAAATCTGTCAGAAATGAAATTGGACAGATTTCATTGGCTGCCATTTTGCAGATTTAACAAATAAAATGAAGTTGCGTGATTGATGAAGGAATGGAACCCTGTGTTACAATGTTGTACATCATCAAACATCTACAGTACTTTTTGCTATACATGTGATGTCTAGGCAAATCTAGTAATTACTATTTCCTATGTGTGAAATTCGTGACCAAACTGCGTTTGATATTTTTTTCAATTGCAATTTGGTCATGCTGATGCCACACCTGACCAGATTCAAATTATGGAACAATAATGTACAATCATTAGTGCTAATGTATGGGGAAAAAATTGTTATTTTCATGTCCTTTTTATATTGAAAAGCTAAAAATGAACTGGTTAAAGTTGATCGATTTTTATATCGTGACCAATCTTGTTGAGGCTGCTTGAAAAATCGTATAGAAATAAATAATAAATTAAAAGTTTTTAGCTGTTTTTTTGAAGCATTAAAATCTGATGATTTGCCGAAGTACAACTGTGTCATACACGTGGACGAACACCAAATGTTTCAGAAGCACGGAGTAATTCTTCAGCCTCAACGGAAATGTCACATAAGCTGCCCTGGCCTATCTGTTTGTTGTGTTTCTGAATACCCTTTCTATTAATGGTATCCTGGTTAAGGGTCATCCTGTTCTTGAAATTAACTTGTTGAAATTCGTGTTGGCAATCTTTACATGTCAGGGATGCAAACAACGAGCACTTACATTTTCTTATTTTATCATGTGACATCATCCAGTTATGATAAAATTTAAATTTGCATTACTTACACTCTTGAGTTTGTAAGCGGTTACGAGATGGCGGCCCTTCGTGGCATGTGGGAAACGTGCGCACGCCTCGTCATAGCTTATTTATTAATATATGCACGCGTGTAGTTTGTGCTCAGATAAGAGAGACTGGACATTAGTTAAAAATAAATAACTTTTTTAAAACTTTTGCATTGTGAATTATTGCAGTGCTCGCCTGACCACCAAGATTTTTAAGGGCCCATAAATCCAAACATTTAGTTTGCATTCCTGATTTGTCATTTAATTAATTCACGGTTAAATATTTTCTAGAATAGAACTGCTGGTGCTTTCAGCTAAAATTTGATCCGAAATTATATAAATCTGATCTTTTTTCCACTCAAGTGTAGATTCCAATGACAGGATGTGAAAGAAACAATGGCATTAATGTACAAAAACGTTTGTATATTTTCAAAGCCAAAGATATTTTATTGGATTAGGGAGAGCGGCAACTAACGTAAATGATACTGTGCTTTATAATAATAATAATTAATAGTTTATATTGAACTAGGTAGATGTATTTATTCAAACACTGTGAATAGATACATATTACGTCCTTGTACAGAACCAGAAACAAAAGCAATGAGCAATAAACAATGGTTTCCAAAATAATAAGGTATACTTTTTTTACAATTTTCCATCCTCCTTTCCTTCATAATATTCTGCTTAATTTGTTTTTTTTGAAATTAATATTAGGTATAGGAAATTTTGAGTCTTATCTGGTAATTAAACATCTAAGGAATAACTAAAAAAATTGGGATTGATTGACTTCTACATTATCTTGTATCTAATCAGTAGGTTGGTTTGTTTGTTTGTTTTTTCTCTTTTCTGCACACAACATAAACAAGAACATTGAGAACTAAACAATATTCTGCATTTGTCAGATAATGGAGGATAAAATGGACAGTACTTCACCATATGTAGACTTCAAGAACGGCAATGAACTCGGGAGAGAAGTACCGTATAATTTTTTTTCCCCCGCTGAATTTAGTATACCCATGAAAATGTTAAGCTAAATAATTAAAATGTTTAAATGACTCCAAATTCAAGTGGCTTGAAACAAGGAGATGCTTTATTGCCTTTTTTTGGAAATCGAGGGACTGTACCTAAATGGGCATTTTGCCCTCTGAAGTTAATATGAGTGAAAATAAAACAGTAACATGGACGCTCCAGAAGTAAACACTTTAAACACATGTTCATGTATTGCCACCAAACAATGGACGAGATAATATGAAAATAACTTAACGATTCCTTAAAAGATGTATCAATGCTCAAAACTTGTTTAACAGTAAAAAAGTAAAATTAGAGTTACGACAGAATTGAGAGAGAGTTTTGGGAATGTTTACTGTTCAGTTCAGACTTTTATCATCCCATTTACTTAAAATTTAAAGATTAAAATGTTGTTTTGTGTGTACAAGAAGCTTTGAAGTTCGGTCTTCCACGTTAGGGGACGGACACAGACCAAAGGTGATCAAGAACAGTTTGCTGAGTGGAATATTTGGACCTACGAAGGAGAAAATAGCAGCACGCTGAATTAAATTTCATAAGCCACATAATTTGTAGGCTTCGCTAAATATTAGGTCGATGAAATGAAAGAGCGGCACGGGTGGGACTAGTAGCATTGGCGAGAGATGAGAATTGGTCAGATTTTTGGTTAGAAAAAGGGGAAAAGATATAAGTTATTAGATTTTTGGCAGAGGAGAGAATTATTTAAAAATGAATTTTGAACAAACATGATATGAACTGGATTCATCCGGCACAGCACAGGGGCTAGTGGTGGGCTCTTGTGAACATTGTATGAAGGTCGAAAAAGGGTAACTGGGTGACCACTGTGTTCTCAAAAAGGACTTTACTTAATGCAGTTATGTTTAAGTTCAACATCACCACTATCGATCTATAATTGTTAATGAAGTTGAAACATCTAAAGAACTAAGGTTGCACATGTTTTATGTTATTGATATTCATATTTTACACATACAAAACAGTGACCAAGACAAAAAAAGCTGCAACCCCCCACAAAATCTTATCGCCATACAAAACGTTGCTCCCACAACTTAAAATTTGATGGGCATTTTGTTGTTTGTCAGTGGCAGCAAAATGCAAAGTACAGACATGGAGTAGGCACAAATTAAATTCATTATTTTTTGTTGTGTATTTGTTCAAATGTTGGAGCAGCGTACAGATGCCGTGACGCAATAAGGTTCAATTTTCCATGTGAAGTAATGAAAGTAGAAGATTTCTGCCTTCTGGGTCGTTGCGCTGTGTAGTCTGGTCGATGTTAACCGACGTTTCGGAGGTCATACTGCCTCCGTCATCAGGGCGATCTACCAGACTACACGGCGCAACAACCCAGAAGACAGAAATCTTCATCCCTCTGATGATGGAGGCAGTATGAACTCTGAAACGTTGGTAATGAAAGTAGAAGATTTCTGCCTTCTGGGTCGTTGCGCTGTGTAGTCTGGTCGATGTTAACCGACGTTTCGGAGGTCATACTGCCTCCGTCATCAGGGCGATCTACCAGACTACACAGCGCAACAACCCAGAAGACAGAACTCTTCATACTCACCGCTGTGAAAAACTCAAATCTTACATAATGAAAGTAGACTCAAAGAATCCAAATACATTAATTAATAATTTAATCTGAAAAGCAACCAAGGCAACTTCCTCATTACAAAACATTTTTTAAAAGAAATTTGAAAACTGATAATGTTCAAAAAGTCCTAGACACTTTAATAACTAAAACTGCTAATACCAAGAGTTCAAAGCCTCCGATTACACGGTTTGGATTCCCAAGGATCTAGCGGCTGAGAAAGAAATTCTGTTAAGCCCAAATGTAAACCCAGGTAAATGCTGCCTCCTGCAACAGCTAAAATGTTAAAACAATTTTGTGTTGTGTCTGATGAAGTCAGCAGGATCATTCAAGGGACAAAAAGACCCAAGTTTCATTTTCAGAAATGACTGATCTATGTAACCTAACCTAACCTAGTTAAAGTTTTAAGGAACAGAATCCTTATAACTTGCCAGGATTTTCAAACTTTGCAGGTTTATGACCAAAAAAAACAAAAACAATTTTGCTGCAGTGAGTGGTATATATATGCAATTTATTTACAATTCATAAGAATGTGAAACTTATGATTTCAGGAGAAAAATTGTGTGATTCAGCTGGAAAGCAAACTTATGGAAAAACTTATGTTTGTCGAGAATTGTGATGTACCTACCAGGGAGACTGAGAGATATGTCCAGCGACTGAGAACCTGATAAAAAAAATTAAACAGAGATGTGAAGACAACGACGCAATGTAACCTACAGACAACGGATGATAACTTACATCAACTCTGGAAAAAAACTGTGCAATTTTCCAGTGACTTTTCTCAAGTCACTTTTTTCAACACCGTAAACTATTGCAAGATGAAGATTATCAAATGGAAGACAAAAGAGGAATTGTAACTTGCGAATGACAGAAAGTGGTGGTTTGTATGTGTGTCACAAATGAACCCAATAAATCTTTAATGTATTTATCACCACCTGACATTTTGTGGGTTCCAACTTCAAAATGGGTTCAGAAACTTCAATGATTCACACACACACACGTTATAAGTGAAAATAAATTCTGTTGCGCCAGTAAGATACTTGAAACGAGACTTCACGTAAAGCTACTCTTTCAGTTGTTACTTAAATGAAAAACTTATTTAAATATTTTAATGATTAAACCTAACAGGTTTCTCTTTTCTTCTTAATGCTTTATTATGTATGTAGTTTACAGCAATCTTTAAACCAAATTGCCAACAGAAACGTCTGTATAACCTGTCATTGCTTCTAAACACAACGTAACTTTGGAACTAAATGACACAGTGAGGAAAAACTTTTCACTCACTCATCAGACTCTGGAGGCTTACAAATTTTGAGTTCGAAGGTAGTCCACGTGTTAATTTAACATGGAATGATCCTATATCAAGGCTCCTTGGTGATCATAAAACTGCAAGCTGCACTATATACTCTAAATCACCAGACCGCCGCTGAATACCAGCAACATCTTATCAGTAGCCTGCAATATCTGCTTAACCTTGACGGGATATTCAAATTCACTGGCGCAATAATGTACACAGCGAATAATTGATCTACTTAAAGAAACAATAACAGACTTACCGAAACAGCCGATGGAAATTCAAAGCACATAATACACTGTCACATAAACACCCAGCACAGACAACCACACACCACCACAATTAACTACAAAATAACACGCGACAGGCAGCACAGCCGTAAACCACCACATATCATCAGCTTTCGGCGCTATCATTAAAAGTATTAATGTTTCAATGTGCCAGCTTTTTATAAAAAAAATGTAATAATTTCCAGACCTTGATTTTATTTATGACAAAGTGGAATCAGATTTTTAATTAAATTAAGCCTGCTCTCGGAAGAAAATGCTCAAGTGCCTGTTTTTCTTTAGTTTGCATGCACAGACGTTGTTCGTAGGATCGATTAATCGTTTACCTCAGCAGACAGGTACAGCAACAAAATTTAGTAGAAAAATATACAAGGCGTATAAAGAACATACAGAATGGAATGATTTCTTTACACTCGATAAGCATTGTCGTGGATAAGCAGATAGTTGAACGCGCTCGTAGGCGATGTTGGTCACTCGTTGGCTTCTGTAATTAGTATAGTACAACAGATTAGAATGTATTTCCATCCTATAGTCCCATCATCGTACAAGTCAAGGGTGTGTAAAATGCCATGGTATGAGTACCAACACTTTGTAGAAATAAAATACAGGCCAACTACATGGATATTAGAGCTTTTTGAATATACAGAGTGGATGGGAAGTAAGTAGGCATTCAGAAATGGTTATAACCTCTATATTTACAATGCAAAGCTGCCTACTTACTTCCCACCCACCCTGAATATTGACAATGTTTACGTTTTTAACTGAAGAAATTTCTTCTATGGAGTAGGAGTGAAATAAAAGATAATCTTTAAGTTCCACCTTAAATATACTTCAATATCATGACAAGTTCTAAGTGGAAGTAGTGAATATTAAGATTCCGGCATAATAAGTACTTTTATGATGAAAAGGACGTCAAGTTTGCAGCAATGTGAAGTCTATGTTGATCTTTTTTTACATCTAAGGCATTGTCTACAAGTAATTTGCCCTCCCCCCAGGTCAAACTGTCAACGGGAAGTTTTATTGTGAAGTTTTGAAGCGGTTACGGGAGAGCTTTAGGTGCAGACGTCCGGAAAAGTGGGAGAACAACGTTCGGGTTCTCCACCACGACAACGAGCCCGTCCACACATCGCTCGTTGTTCGGCAGTTTTTGGCTTCTAGTGATTTCCCACCCACCCTATTCGCCTGACCTCGCCCCCACTTGCGACTTTTTCCTGTTCCCCAAAATGAAATTTCGATTGAAAGGCCGTCGTTTTGACACAATTGAGGAGATCCAGCCAGGGATGCGTGGAATCATGGGAAAAAAGTTGGGATCGCTGTATTCATGCCCAAAGGAACTACTTCGAAGGAGACGGTGGAAACTACGAGTTATGATAAGCGATTCTTTTTTATGGGCAAATTCCCTGAACTTTTGGGTAGCACCTTGTAATTCGATTGGTTTCAAAAATCATAATTTTGCTGTGACTACAATACTCCACGCAGGGCACCTGCTCGCTCCATTCCACCATCTGTGCTTCAACATTCCAAGTGCAAGGAATTGTTTTACACTGGGGCACCGGGCAGTGGCGGCTCGTGAGTCTGCGCAAGGGGGGAAAACTCAGAATAGTTTTTTTAACACATAACAATATAAACAAATGAAAAGTAAATTTACATCAGGAGAAAACCCATTCGTGATTTTTTTTACAATTTAGAAAAAGTAATTTGCCGAAACTATGATACACTTTCTTTGCTCATTATCATTATCAGAACAAAAAACAGTCAGCACACAGAATCATTGAACACTCATTAACAATAACTACGAAAGAGTCTGTGATACAGAAACAAGTCTAAAACACGTGGTCTACTGCGTTCCAGCGTTTTTGGCAATCAGGGGCCAGGATTTGAAGACTATCACTCACCTCCGTCTTCATCTTCAGGATGTGGTGATTAATTATCCCTTTCATGGCCAAAACATTTGTAATTATTTTAGATGGTTTATTGACATGCCATAATACACCTGAACCACCTGTATAATTCCAAAAAAACACGTATTTTTATTCTGTGCATAAAATTTTGGAAATGCTACTAAACTCTTCGATGTTAATACTCATTTTATAAAGCAGTGTATAGAAAACAAAAATACGTATGATATATATGAATGAAATTGGTGTTCATGGGTCAGAAATTTAAATTTTCAAGGAATTTTTAAAACCAAACATTTCTACATAATTACACTATCTCGTGCACCCTCCATTTGGTGATGCATTTACAATTGCCCGATCAATGAGGAAATATTCCCTTCTTCAATGACAATGATCAATATCATCCACGATTATATCGTACTCGGAAATTATGTTTGGGCAAAACATTCGACTTGTTGATCCATCATTGTTTTCCATTCAGCTGTATTAATCACCTTGGGATTGTAGAAAGTCCTGTCATTTGACAGCTGCGATGAATCTTTTGATTCATAAAATTTCCTCTTCAAGAGCACGGCAGTCATTATCTACATATAAAGTAATTATTTAAGGCAATTAGCTAACAGATATTAGTAAAACATTCACTCAGACCAGGCACTGACAACCTTTAAGTAACTTTGAGATAAATCTGTTTTACTCATCATATATCAAGTTTGGTTTTTACCAGTATCAAAAAAAATAAAATTTTATCCGAAGTCTGAGAAAATGAAATATTAAAAATTGTGAAACCTTACGCAAGCAGAATAAAAAATGCCCTTGTCATGTTTCGACCAACAACCCTTTTACCTCAAGAAAAGGCATGACCATCCTTATTTCCTTCCTGCCAGTTTCAAACTCGGAATCAAAATGTAACCCATATTGAAGTCAGCCAAGCACCAGACCTTATTCACTGGAATACGAGGAATGTCCTGTCCCAAGGATGACCTTCGTCTGTACAGCAACATGAATCATCAACAGCAAGGAATGACGTATCTCAGATCGTCACTTGGCATACCAGCGAAGCCTGTCATTTCCCATGGGTAATGCTTTGCACTTAATTGCAACGTACATTCTTGAATTTTGCTCCAATCATTACTGCCGACACGCAAAGGACATGATCACTACTCCAAAAATATTCCAACTAGGACAAATAAAGGACACCCGTAATAACTGGAGACATACAAAAAGCTTTCAGCTATTTTTGGAGATCAACAATAGCTCATTCTATTTTCTTCAATGTCTTCTGTGAAGAGATCAGGTATATAAACTTCATTACCTTGTTGGTCGTCACCTTACCAATTACATTCCAATTTAACACGTGGAAAATCACTTTCCCTTCGTACAATATACATTAAGGTTTCATCCAAATCATTTTGTATCACTACAATTCCCCTTTCTTCATCTGCGTGTACATGAGACACTTCTGCATGCAAAGTTCCCCTGCTACTTCCTTGTCAAGGTCACATTCACTGTAAGACGACGAATAAGAATATTGCTAAATACCTTCCTCCTTCAAATTCAGTATAAATATTTGCCTAATTGTATATAGCCACAATTTTCATTATTAATATAAAGCTGGAATCAGAAAATGGACAGTACACGAAAAAAGTAGCCATTTGTATTAGAACAGACATGTAAATGTGCCTTACCTTTATATACATAAACACTTCTGTACAGGTACAATAAAATATGAAACACTTGCATACTCTGGTAATTCTCAACTCAACAGTGACCAATATAAAGAGAAAAGCTACAAAGAATAATTGTCAGAAGAATGTATTTCTAGGATACTCCAAGACATAAATTTAATAGTACTCAGTGGTACCAACAGATCCCACTGGCTTACAAAAGGGACAAAAATTTACCTTTGCCTTAACAAGAGAAATTTCCTATGTTCAGAACCACTTCAGTTCTGTACAAAAATGGAAGGATGATAAATTTTAATATGTAATGTTTCAGATACATTTTCTAAGACTCACAAAACAAATGTATTTTATTGAGTATTATCTGAATATTGTTTAAAGGAATGCTCTTGTATTTTAACAGAATTATTTATACCCCATAACCATGTGAATAACAATAAAAAAATTACCTTTCTGATTAAAGTATTCTTCTTCCTGTGTTTATCACATAATTTTATGAAATGTGACAGGATCCATGAACCAGCCAAGTAGTGAATTTAGAAGTCTAATGGTTAACACTCCTGTTTCGGAGCTACAGGAACCAAATTTTGGGCTACAGATTGGCTCTTCTGAGGTGTTTCAGTTTCCTAATTATTCTAAGAAAATTCTAGGCAGTATTAGGCCACAGCTGTTTCTTTTCACATCCTTTCCAAATTATTAGACACGAATCATCCTACCATTAAACACTATACACAAGTTAATGTAGCCAAGTGCTTCCATTAGTCATTCCAGGATACGCCAGTGAAATATGAGGGCCTTTCTGAAAGACATTACAGCTCAAATATCTAAGATGGAAACACAAGGGACTCGTATCCACTTCCATGTACACACATCGTAGATGTTCACCATATTTCCAAGGCTTTCCTTTCGATAGTTCACAAACAGAATGTCCACTGACTTTATGTCAGTATTTCAGGATCTTATTCCTGACGTCACTCCCGCTCAGAAATCTTTTTGAATGTACACGTGCTTCTCGGCAGTTGCGAAGCTACAGATATTTGAAATTCAAGATTCACATAAAATGCGGCATCAAAAATATGTAATCTTCTCTTCAGTTTAGTATGTTCACGTTTTCAAAGAAATTTAGTGGAGTGAAGTCCGGTGACCACTGTGGCCAATTCTGTGAACCACCAAAAAATCCATCAGTTTGGGAACTGCATATTCACAAATCGACTAATCATGTTCGGTGTCATTCAAGACACGTGAATGATCGTGATTTTATACACAAGGTTTAATTCATCTTGAATTTCAAATATTAATAGCTCCGTAACCTGGGAATTAGACCTATGCTCGTGACATTTGTGACTTAGAATGATGACAGAAATAAGATCTTTAATTACTGACACGAAGTCGCCCGACATCCTCTATATATCAATTATAATAAAAGCAAGACAGCATAATTTTTCTCTGATATCAATGAGAAGGATATCAGGAATGACAAATACAAATAATAAAGGCAAGTTTTAAAAAGATGTATTCCTAGTACCAAAAATACAATGAGCACTCCTTAGTCTCAAAACCAAGTACATTCGAAATACAATGAATGCAATGAGACCAAAACATTACAAGCAACTTTTAATAATAAAAGGTTATATAAATATAAAACATATCATGGAATGGATTGAACATCACGTTAAATTATAAATTACGTGCGGATGTATTCCAGCCATTTCCCATGCAAGACTTATGGTCGTTTATCGATGTATACAGAATCTTCCTTCGACTTCAAACTAGACTTTGCGGAAAACCACATATTCCCTCTGGAAGACAGTTCAGTCCCAGTAAATTAATTACAATTAAGCACAACCCATCAGCAGCGTAACCTTAGCTCTGCAAATAAAATGCCAAGATACCAAGAGAATGAAGAACAACTGGTCGCAGAAGATGCTGCATCGCACGTCAGGTACGTACACAATACTGAATCAGTCTTATCATGAAGGAAACAAAGATAATTTTTGACAGTATCTGTAATATCAATTTGGCACGAATGAAATACACATCATATAAATAACAAATACAAAACATAAAAACAATAGTTAAAATGGATACAGTAAAACAATAGAAAAGGAACATCGTGTCTTGCAGTTGGTGTCAAGACTAGAATAATTTCCAAACGGGAGTTAAGAGCTCGCTGCAGCCGCCACGGGAGAAATATCATCATCCTTGCTCTTGTCAGTGTTGCCTGAGCTGTCAACAGATAATTTCTTTACTTTAACATCCTGTTCCTTATCTTCCACCTCATTATTTCCTTCAGAAATATCATCTTTGCCATTCTCAGCAGTGGAAGCTAACCCATTTTCCTTGGTGGTATCCTCTGCTGTTTTGGATTCATCACCACCTTTCTCCTTTTCATTCTTAACATCTTCATCTGTATTCTCACCCTCGTTTTCTGCGCAGGTATCAATAACAATTTTAGGAATGGCAGGCAGTTGCGCCTTTGAGGGAGTTTCTGACAACTTACAGACACCCTGTAACATTTCATTCACGGTACTTGGTTGTTTAGGACTTACTTTTGTACTTGATTCTTCAAGACTAGCATCAGCAGTTCCCAACTTTGCGTCTGATTCAGCGGTGGATCGAGAAGGTTCTGCGTCAGCAATTTCTGTCGATTTATTTTTCCCAGAAGCAGATTCATTACTTTCAGTCTGAGACGGAGACAAATCTACAGACTGTTTATCAGATGCCTTATGAAAAGTAATTTCAGATTCTAATTTGGTAACTTCACTTCCTTTATTAACAGCTGAAGCTTCAGAAGTTTCAATATTCTCTCCTTCCTCTTTCACCTTCGTAGTCTCTCCAGATTCTGCATCCACTTTTTTTACACACGTACCATCTTTCTTTTCAACTTTTGTTGAAGATTCTGTTTTCATCGCACCCATAACTTGATCCTTCTCTTCAACGGCCACGGCGTCTGTGCCTACTTTATCCGTACCCTTCGTATCGCCTGCATCGACACCGTCATTTTCAATTTCCGTTTCCATTTTCTTCTCAGTCTGTGACATTTCCTTTTCCGCCACTCTTGAATCAACATTTGTATCTCGTGTATCAACTTTTGCGACATTACAACCTGCTTTCGCGTTATCAGAATTGGCTTTTGCGGCTCCTTCATCGACAGAACTGGTTTTTGCATCTCCTAAACCTGTTTCTTGTTCTCCAGATGCAACTTTTGAAGAACCAGATTCTGTACACGCTAAATTACCTTCCGAGCGCCCTGAACCAGCCTTTCCATCTCCGGAATCACTTTTTGGAACTTCGGAATCAGTCTTTGTATCTTGTGTACTGACTGATATTCCCTTAACGTCAACTCCAGTGGTTTTTGACACCTCTCCTTTCGGTTTCTTCTCATCAATTTCTACCTTCGAACATTTTACTTCATCAGTCTCTGAGCGCGGTTCTCGAGACTCTTTCTCCATGCCAGTTTTTGATTCATGCGCTGGAGAATCTGTTTTGGAGACTTCCAAGTCACCAGATGCCAGCTCAGTCTTTACTTCAGCGTCAGCTTTCTCAGATCCCTTTGGACCACAATCTTCGACTGCCACTGTCCCGCCAGTGGTATGAGATTCTACTTCCATTTCATCAGTCTTAACATTATTCTCTTGAGCATCATTATTGCTTACGTCCGTCATTTCGACGTCTTCGGAGCAACCTTCGACGTTCCCGGAACCTGCCGATTCCGTAGCGGCTACTTCATTCTTCTTTGCAGCGTCAGCCTTTATTTTGTCACTAGAGCTGCCTGTTGTCTCGGGTACAGGTCCATTTGCGGTTGACTCAACTATTTCAAGTGGTTCGTCACTGGTAGACATTTTCTTCCTCTTAGCAGAGACTTCAAAAACAAAGTCATGAAAAGATTTGATCACTGGAAAATTCACCTGATCTTCTTCCGTGAGAGGTTCGTTGCCTTCTCGAACCACGAGAACCGCTTTCAGCCCGGCTTCTTGAGCGGCCTTTGCTTCTGCACAGAACAAATATATAATTACAGAATGAACGAGTCCGAGCGAAGACGGTACTACAACTATAGAAATTATCAAAAAGTGGGATGTTTCTGCCACCATACTCTCCACATACATTTTTAACTGGTTCACATATGCCGTATTTTGAAAATTTGCCACATGCTACCATCACAGCTACGGGGCAGCTGTCAGCTAATCCCGTCCGATTATGGTCGCAGACTTCCATCCAGAACATATTAATAAATTTTGTGTGGTTTCTAATCTTTATTTTGGCCTGGGCAGAGTCTGGAGGCTCTCGGTGATCCGTTAAGTGGCAATCACCACAGTAAGTTCCAGATATTTAATTTTAATCTGTGATGTTTAATATGGGGGGTAATTTGGGTCATGACGTGGGAGCACACAGGTACAAATTTTCACGATAAAAAAAATCTAAGTGTGTGCAACTTGTACAAGTACATGAAACTCTACTGACCATAGCGGGGGAGGGGAGAAAAAACCCTGTAATACTCCAGTGGCTTTCACAAACCCCACGCATCTTTTCCTGTGACCCTCACGGCAGTCGTGTTAAATATACCAAATAAAACAACACGCAATATTGGTCCTTCCTACACTGACCATTTTTCTTTGACGTATTTACGGTCTGAAAGACAAAATCAAATTATTACCACATTCACGTGTTTTTATGTGTGCTGGGGGGGGGGGGGTCATGTCTGTGGGTCAAATAGGAATCCAAACTACCAGCACTGATAAGTCCCATATAGAATAATGTTACATTTCCTCGCTTCTATCTGTCCTCGAACTGTTTTATCGCACCAATCGATCAAAAATCTTTATCCTGGCCCATAATTTTCACGCATTGAGTTTCTGAGGAAGTATAACGAAATTTACGTAATGTTTTTAGAATTTAAAATGATCACTTTAGAGATAAATTCTGATTCTGACACCAGTCCCCACTTATTAGGATTACGCAATTCCTTAACTGTCCGGTTCCTATAACTCTAGCGCTTTCCATTCGCACGTCTTACTCATCGCCCTGATGATGGAGGCAGCAAAGACATCGTAAACGTCGGCAAACTTCTACCAGACTACACGGCACAAATTAATACCGAAAGACGCACATCCCGTTATGTCGCCCGACCAGCTGCGAGATGGCGGTGTTCATTTGTTGAAAAGTTGAGTTTACATTAACCTCAAATCATATTTCGTTCCCGCGGTGCTAGATGGCGTGTTCAGTGTGAATTTCTTCACGAAAATTTTCATTATAAGGCGGCAATTTTCATTGTTTCATTCGGTGATCTAGTTAGTTAGTTAGTAAATATTTTGTTATTCCTCTTATTATTCCCTTTCCAAGTTTTGCCCAATAAAGCAAGCCGAAACCATTGATGAGTTGTGTGACGACAGCGAAGGGATCGTTAGCGGTGAGGAAGGGGGAAAAAAAAAGACGAATCACAGTCAATCACGGGGACCAACGAATTGCCAATTGTAATTGTATAAAATATATTTTTTAAATTCCCTTTATTTTATTTACGTTATTTCAGAACTTTAAATGTAATGATATTATGTTACTCGTCCATGTTTGGGTGCTGGGAATGCATGTCATTGATTTACATTATAAAGATTTTCAATTTACGCCGGTTTGTCCAGGAACGCATCCCCGGCGTAAATCGAGGGCTACCTGTAACTCGGTTGTTTAAAAGATATGTATTTAAAATTTATATGATATAGGTCAAAGGTATTCTTACGACACAAGAAATTCAAGCAAAATACCACAAACGAGAGGAGAAATAATCTAATTGGAAGTGGAATTTGAACGCTTTAAGATCTTACCTCTCGGAACATCAGTTAGGAACACAATATCTTCACTCTTACATTCTAGGTTCTTGACTATATTCATGTAGCTGCTCGACTCAACTTTGGGGCCAACTCCGGTATCAAAATGTCCTGCAAAAAGCTACAAAAAAAGAAAAATAAAGAACAGAGGCTATAATTCCGAAGCGCTTTTAACAGAAAATTTTCAGCCCAGAGAAAATCAGTTATTTGACTCTATCAAATAAAATTTAGACACGCTGCTTATACAGATGTGCATGAAATTAACAGAGAAGTAAATAAATCGAGAAGAAAAAACTTGGTATCTCGTAAAAACACCTCGACAACACATTTTATTCTTCTGGGTTCAGTGTTGATCTTCGATGGAAATTGCGTCAACAGAATGGTTCACGTGAGATTTGAGGTTTTCACAGCGGTGAGTATGAAGATTTCTGTCTTCTGGGTTGTTGCGCTGTGTAGTCTGGTCGATCGCCCTGATGACGGAGGCAGTATGACCTCAGAAATGATGGTAATCATCGACCAGACTACACGGCGCAACAACCCAGAAGACAGAAATCTTCAGAATGGTTCATGTCAGTACCTAAAAAGTGATGATATTGATGAATTAGACGAGTTCTTTGAGTTGCTGGAAGATAATGAATCAGCACAACAAACAAACAAACATATTCACCCTGAAGATGTTTGCTAAAACACTGCATAACTTTAAATAATCGACACCGCTTATCCCCTAAAACCAAAGCTACAAAAATCTAAGGACAAGAACGCTGTTACTGGAGACCATTAGAAGCGGAAATATTGGATATTCTTAGATGAGCAGCCATGTGAAAGGCCTTATTCTTCTTTAGATGTGTTACATCCATTTTCCTTGACTAACTGAACAGCTGTTTGCCATTCTGTCATCTTTGTCAACATTTATTCATTAACTGCAGTCTTCGATGGCGGCAGGTTTATGGGCACTACCATATCCATCATAGACGTATTCAGTATCCGCACATCTCATGCGCCTTTCCACATCATACCTGTCAAGACATTTCTCGGCCTAGCACGTCACCCCTTTTCAGTTGTACTTTCTTGCTGTCAAAATCCCCCAGTGTTTTTTTATGATTCTGACTGTTCCACAACAGTTGATTGCACTTGCAGATTATAAAATAAATTTAAAGACAAGAAATAAATGTCCATGCGAAGTTTATTGCCAACTCCTTCCATTGATCTAGTGAGATTTTTCACAAATGCAAATGTTGCCTTCGGTGGACTAGTGGTCAGCATGGTCGCCACTGGACCCAAGGTTCACGGGTTCAAACCCGACCGAGGTCGATGGATTTTTATCACCGTTAAAAATCCACAGCACAACTTCCTTTGGAGGGGAAGTAAAGCCGGCGATCCAATGTCGTAGATTTACGACGCGTAAAAGAACCTTACGAGCATGATACGAGATGTTTTGTAAGCAAAATACATGCACTGTCAGCAGACTACAACGACTAAACGTAGCGACGTACAAGCACACGATGTAGGTCCGATGCAGTAAACAGTGTTTCTAATAGCACTCTTGTTCACGAAGAATATAAAGGTTAATGTTGGGTTTTAATTCCTTCACATCCATCATTACACTGAACTGGAAAGTGTCAAATCTTAGCGCTGTATTTCTATATGAGCGATTAGAAGTTAGGAGACAAACGACGGTTATTTCGAGCTACTACAAGTACCTGATAGAATGAGCATTTATAAGAATTGTATAAATTCTTATTATATTCTTCTTCTTCTTCCGTTTGTTGACCATTACTTCGGTCTTCTGGTGCCTAATATCTTCTTCCATTCTTCTCTATCTTCCCATCATTACGGAGGTAGATTCCACTCTATCATGATTCTTGTAATTCCGTCGTTCCATCCTGGTCTCGGTCTTCCTCTCTTCCGGTTGCCATTTCATAGTGTTTTGGTAACCTTTCCTCTTCCATCCTTTGCACGTGTCCATACCAAATCAGTTCAACTCCTTCCATTGACCTAGTGAGATTTTTCACGATTTTTCATGATTTCTACAATCCTTTCGTTTCTCACTCTCTCGCTTCTGGATATTACAGCCGCTCACTCTTATTATTTTAAGGTTTCAATATACCATACTGGTGAAGAATGTACAATTCTGTAGCTCCTCATTACGCTGCATATTAGCAAACACAGTCTTAGACCATACTTAACGATTACAGAAAATTAAACGTTAAACAATCCTTCTTCCTTCAATATTTTCTAAAACAGAAAGTGTCTCGTAACTGCTGAAGAGCGAGCTCACCTCAAGAAGATCTCCTTCTTCTGAGTGTCCAAAAAGCAGTTTCTGAGCCTCAACGCTACCAGAGGAATAGATATAGACTTGTCGCCCATTATGTGCCCACGACTTCAGAGCAGGCGCCACATCAGAAAAGACACTGCACAGGCAAATAAAAATTACAATGTTGTGAAAGCATTCTTCAGCCACACATAATAATCCAAATATCATACTTACCGAAAAATAACACAAATAAAAACTAAAATTTTAGTAATAGTTTTAAAAAAAACATATGTAGAAAATACAGAAAAATAATAATAATACAATTGATTCGACACCAAACCTAACCTCACACACAGCTATACTGCTGATTAAACCAATACCTCACAGCCCTCCAGAAATGCACGAGAAAATTGCAGTGCTGTGGTACGTGAGATTTGTTTTGTATTTACAAAGTTAAATGAAGCTCAAGCAATTATTTATAAACTTAAGAAACAGTTTATGGGGTCCGCAGTGGCCGCGCGGTCTGAGGCGTGGGCCTCGTGCCACTTGGACACGGACCGTGGGTTCAAATCCCACTCGAGCCATGGATGTTTGTCTGCATTTTTCTTGGCACAGGTAGAGTCCTTGCGACGGGCTGATCCCTCGTCCAAGGAGTCCTACCGAATGTCTATAGATCAAGCCAACTAAAAAGTTGGGGACCCATAAAGGGTACCGGAAAATGTAGAAAACATCGTTAAACCGGAAAAAGAAGAAACAGTTTATGGTATTGTCCATCATGACGAGACGCTGGTTGTCATAAAAAGGACAATACTTGATTATTAACCTCTAAACTACTACTACTATCAGTGATAATAAAATCTTCTTGGGTGATCAACAACGTGAGCAAAAAATAGTTTTCAGAGTTTTGAAGAGGTCACTCCCCGACGATGAACTCACAGACAGGTTGCAAAACACTGGAAAATAATTCCTCACTGCACTCAGTTGCCATGAAAGAAACTTACACAAAAATAAAAGATACTTACTGTCCTTTCAATTTCCCATTTTTGTAACCCTCGCGCATTATATGACCTTGAAGCTGCTTCAGGGCCTTGGTCTTCCTGTCCGAGTCCATCTGCCACAAAACATTCTTTGCCACAGCTTCAATTGCATTTTCTCCATCGTCTTCAGGAATTAGAACAACACCAGCCATTTTGTCAGCTTCATCCTGTTTCGCCTATGGATAACATTCAATATTCCCAAAAACTAATTCAGGAAGTTGGATCCTTTACACATTATTAGAAATATAAGCACTACATACCATATTTTCTGCACATAAAATTTTTTAATCACCAATTTTCATTCAAATACAGGGGTCACCTTATATTTAAAAAAAAACAACCTATTTTTCTTTTTTACTTATTTATAGTTTATTTAACGTTGTCGGTTACGCCTCAAGCATTATTGTAACATTTTCTTGCAGGGACTATAAGTAAAAAAAATAAATACATAAATTAATTAAAAAAACTCAGGATACATGGTCAGACTGAGATTTGAACACAAGACCTCCCAAATACTAACAAGTAGCTACTAACCAAACAGCCGTGACACTCATTTCAAAGCATTCCATAAAAATGAAATGGTAAATATAAATTCCAATATTGTATTTTGAAAATACAAAAGATCTTAGGTACTCTGCTGCTGGCTTAATTTCAGCCAAGCCATTTTTAGCGGCATATGAATATTTTGCAATATTACACTGAAAAGAAATGAATGGCATTTATCGAATGATTATCCAACAAATCACGTGCATTGTCTGCTTACAGAAGATAAAACTGCTCAAAGTGCACTCTGGGTAGAGAAAGACTTCTTCTGCTTGTGGCCTGTCGCTAACCAACCAAGGTGGACAAAGCATTGGCACACGACTGTCTTTCGATACAGGAGAAAACATGATGAGATTATAAATGGAATAATATTAATTTGTATACAACTTACCTGTTCCCTTAGTAATACCAAATCCTCTTTAAATTCAGAATCATTCCAGTGAGCCTTCAAGTACGATTTTAAATTGCTCCGGATATATGGGAACAGTATATCCTACACATAAAAAGAGAATGAAGTTATATAATTTGCAAGTTTATAGTTTAAATGCGTCATGTTTGTGTTTTAAAATTCAAATATATAACATAATTCAAGTCTATACACAAACTTTAAATTGTTGATGTTAAAATTTAAAATTAATATTGATATTTTGCGCTATTCATCGTTATTACGATGTTACAGTATTGCGCTTTATACTACTACATGTTTCAATGCATAGCATCATCTTAACATCAATAATTTAAAGTTTGTGTATAGACTTGAATTATATTATATATTTGAATAATTTGCAAGGGATTACTTACTGAAATCAAAATATAAAGTTTAAGTTAATAAGGAAAGCATAAACTTTTTTTTCTAACATCAGTATTCATAATCTTATTTATTTATAGCTTATTTAATGACATTTCTTCAGTAGCTCAGACTATATAGCATTGATAGTAAGCATAACAATTATAATCGCTAGCAGAAATTAAAATAGTGCTCAAGTGAATACGAGTAAGCATCACATATCGTCCAAGTCACGAAGCTGCTTATTACCCTGCTCCAGCTTCATTCTTCCAGAAGTCTCTGGAAAGGTTTTCATCAGTTTTGTAACCCGCATGGTTTGTAATTTTTTTAAAAAAAAAGTTTGGGAAGCCTGTCTCCATTTTCTGTCAACATGTCGAATACGATTTATCGGTTTTTTTATCTAAAAATTGTCCTGTTCTGTTTTTAGTCCTTCCACAATGTCTCACAAGGTCAGTAAATGTCAGTGAATCCACGTAAATCACCAGTCATCAAAGTTCTACAAATTAACCGCATGCTACATAAGGACAATAAAAACACCACTCCAGAACCGCCCCAATGTGCGCTGATCTCGGTAACTGTTTCGATCATGAACTTCAGATAAGATGTGTACTTATGTAAGCAAGATATTTACAATAACAAAATAGAAAATTGCTTTGTTAATATAATTCTGGGAGAAAAAATAATTAAAGAAATTTATTTTTCAATAAAACTGCTACTGCAGCTCCAGTGCTGGTAAATAAATGCAAAACATAGGTCAGAAAGGGGGGGGGGTGCTTCTGCTTCAGTAATGTTTCAGTACCAGGTTTAATGTATTTTATTCATGCTCCGATTCTTAAGAGATGACGAGCAGCTGTCACTGAACATTCACACCGTGGACAATATATATATATATACACGGTATCCTTCACACAAAACTTCATGTACACATACAGACTATAAATTCCTAAAGATTAAAATCACCAAGACAAGAATCTGTAACTTCAGAATTTATTGGAATTTACTGACCACTGATGCAGAGATAAGAATAACAAATTCTCTGAAAGCTCAGCCTGCTTGACATCACTAACACCAAAGCCTGCCACTGGACATGATCCTGAGCCAGTTCCATCCATTATCCATCCTCACAACCAACATCCCTAAGATCAGCCCTTAAAGTTATCATCCTACCTATTTCTTGGTCTTTTAAGAGGTTTCTCCATCAAAATTCTGTATGTAATATCTGTTTCTCCATCCCACCTAAATGGTCAGAAATCACAGCCTCCTACACATCCCTATTTTCATACTATGTGACTTGCACGAACCTTAAGATCTTTGTTATGCAAAATCCTTAACTGCCCACTTCATCATTAATTCGTAAATTGTCTGGGCACAAAAAGGCAAGGAATAGGAAAAACTCACAGAAAGTCATTAATTGGAAAGGTGACATATTTAGCAGGATTTGAGGTTCCCACGATGTTTTGTGGGTTGTAGTGCTCATCAGTCATCACCCTGATGATGGAGGCTGTCTTCTGGGTTATGGAGTAGTAGTAGTCTGCTACAAGATTACTTTTACCAGACTACATGATGCTACAACTCAGAAGGCAGCCATCTTAGAACGTATCTAGTTCACGAAAACTGGAGTAAAAATATTCAGAATTTTATCCAGAGTAAAGTAATTACATTAGTGGAATTGAAGAATTCAGATTTTAGTACTGGAAAAGAAGCCAGTTTACTTGTATGTCACAATTTCACCGGCATCAAGCAGAACCTTAATTTGCAAAAAAACGATTTCAAAAGTCCTTTATTTATATATATATGCACATGCATACAAACAAGATGATTCAGGAGAAGCCTGGATATGAAAGGAATCCTGTGTTTAAAAAAAATTATGACCATTATTATGAAAGAGAGAATAAAGAACATGTGATAACATAGCATATCTTTTCTCAAAGCTTAACACTGTTACATATACATGTGAATGCATAAATGAACAAACTTCTATCACTTAAACATCAGTCTTTATAACTGTGCTGACACTTTCGCAAAAATAGAAATTAAGTGGCAAAGAATTTCATTCTGTAAATAACTTGGCTACCATTAGTATTAAAGCAATGAGTCCAGCATGCACATATAGAAAAATGGAGACCCACATAAAATTTAATGTCTGCAGTTTAAAAGTAGAAACATTAAACAAATAGATGCCCCAAATAAAAATAATTTAATAACAATCAAGGGACAACAGGACAAAAGGAAATGCTTTACACGTGCATACCGATGCAAGCAGAAACAATGATTTAACAGAATATAGCATTAAAAAAATCACATCCATTTGCACAAGCAATGGAAAATTCAGATGCATAAAAAATTAACCAACATGAAACTGTGTATTATGTCAAAACGGTCAAGGCACTAGATTCTACATACTACTTCAACATCTACAAATCTTAGTCAAAGAAATAAGAAAGGTTTACAAGTCACAGACATTCTCATCAGGCACAAAAAATACGCATTTCAAAGAATGTGATTTGCACAAAACATTCCAAAATACAACAGGTATCAGTGCATGCATATAAGATGAAAAAAATTACAAAAGTGTGACAATTTCTCACTGGGTACAAAAATAAAAGTTTCAGAGAATAGGATTTGAACAAAGCTTTTCAAAACATAATATTCTTTCCAATGAAGTATTCATTTTGATCTGTAATACTGTTCAAGATTGATACAATACAGGATATGTAAGTTAGTCACCCCTGCCAGTTGTACACTGTTAAGGTGATCAAAGTGCACATCCTAAACATACAGTGAATTCATACAAGAATTTCTGTATCTGAAAGCATCTAGTCAAAATATTAAAGTCAGCAATGGCTTCCTTTAGTGATATATGGGAATTTAAAAAACTACAGTAACAAATAATTAAACACAAGATGTAGGAAATAAATATAATTCCAACCCAGAATAACAAACACTGATCAACTACAAAATTACATAGAACACTATTACAATAAAATAAAATTACAAATGTTTCATTAGCATTATTCTGTAAATATCACATAAAATTTAACATTTCAATTCCAATGAAAAATATGAAACACTTAATGGAATTTAATATTTCTGGAAAGACATTTCAACTGGTTTATAAATAAAATTCCCATTTGAAACGATTATGTGCAGATGAAATTATAATATACAAACAATCACCAAACTCCATCAAAACTGATATCCTCCATGTTGATGTGCTGGCAGGAAATACAAGTTCCTTTCTTAGCAGCAAAGAAGCCATCCAAATTAAATTCAGACATTCCATATCATTCAAATACCATTATAACTTTTGTTTATAAACCTTCATTTTTTAAAAACACTACAACATAATGTTCAAGCATACATTACTTGAGCTTCTAACAATCCAATGAATTCAATGTGACTCAGTTAATATAGGAAAAAGCCCCACAAAATCACACCAACCTACTAGAAATGCATTGTGGTTACAAAGTATAAAATATTAATTAAGGTACGAATTTAATTTAAGGATGAAATTATTTACAAACATTAATGAACACTTGGGGAAACTGGTATTAGTCATAGATGTTTCTTCTCACACATACACATTACATGAAAGTTATGCATTCACAGTATTATTTGAATGTTAAAGATTATACTCACCATCGCACATATGTGTATGTACAATTCATCACAGTTGTCTACATCCACACTAAAAATCAAAAACCCGTTACGAAAAATATAGGTTCAAACCAGTGTCCAATATGGTGAATTTCGTTAAATCCAATGTTCAGACAAATCAATGACTAACGCAATCTTTCTCTGGACTCGAACCAACATGCTGATGATAGAACCATACAAATAACGGTTTTCTTACCACATTACATGCTGCAATAATGTTTTTTATTCAAGAGACAGCATTTTCACCGAAAAATTAATATTTCGGTCGGCAGCATGAAGTGGTAACAAAGCCGCCACTCCGCCGGTTCTTTGTCAGTCACATTTTAAAATGTATTACCTTAACAAAACTGATGGATGTTGTTGTACCTTCAATATCAACAAGTATGATACTTGCTTTTTGAAGGGAATCATCAATATGTTTAATTCTCTTTTCACCAACTGTCATTGTACTCATTCTACAAATACCAAAATTCCGACCGTTAACACTCTTCCTTCTCCCAGCTCAATAACCCCACTCTCCAAAAGCACTTCGCAAGACAGCCGGTACTACAGATTAAAACAGCCACAGATAAATGAAAGCCAGAACCGAAGGCTGATATACACGGCCTCCTAAACATTGTCAGAAACTGAAGTGCCTATATTCTGAGGTTCAATGAATTTTCTACGGAAATTGTTAATCACATTTTCTTTTATTGTGTTTTAATCATAAAAATCCTATATTATCGATAATATAATATACCAAATAGTATTATAACACTTTTAAGTATTTATTTAGCAGAACGAGAACGACAGTTTGGCAGCATCGCTAAATTCTACGTACATGCCGAATGCACAAACCCATGTTTTCATTTAATTATTATTAAGCTTTAAATGTAGTTACATGTTTATTAACGGGTAAAAAGTCCACCTTTCTAAGTAATTACTGACATTATAAGAAATAACGGTATTTTTGTCTGAAAATTTTTGACTACGTGTCAAATTTGAATGGTTAGAATTATAGTTTCTAACACACACCGATCTTAAAATACTAAATTTTATACACTAATTCGGCTGTAAAAGTTCTATGTTAGGGCAAGGAATACTTTGTGTCAATTTTTTATTATGGAATTGAAATATGATTGTTCTTGTCTTTGGGATGGTTATTTCAGAAATATTACTCCATTCTGAGTTCATATTGTAGCATGTTTCGGTTAGCAGATACATATTAAGCGATATTACTATGTGGGACTTCATGGCTGTCTAATATGTTCATAGCCTTTTGAATGAAGCTGTCTCAAGTGTAAGGTTATTTAATGTCATATTAGAGTAGAGCATGATTATATATTTTCATTTCTCCACTGATATATCTTGATGTTCTTTGTCCAAATTAATTTCTTTTCATAAACGAAGTTAGCAAATATGACAAATGTGTGGAAACTTATTCAGTCGTCTTGTGTGCCTGCACTGCTGCTACTTTGTTAAATTGTTCCTCTGTTGATATTATCCACATTATTTGTTACCCAGCATAGTCTTGTTTTAATCTTAGTATATGGCTACTGTTTTTAGTAACTTATTTCTTAAATGTTTGTATGAAGTATATAAAGAATTGGCATTCATATTTATATAGATAGGCCTACATACATCCATACACGTATTGGAGTGTAACATTTGAAAATGTTATGATTGCATAATTCCTTAAATGATCAAATACTCTACACAATCCACTTTCTGTATAATCATTGTCTGTCATAAAATTTCTTTCTCTTTTCACTCTTACGGTTATCACACTATATTACATGAATACTGATCAGTAACCTCAGGTTTTGCTCTGATAAGGTGGAACTTTTAGGGTTTAAATAATAAGGGGAATCAGTTTGGTTGGATTAACTCAGTAACATCTGTGGTCACTAGTAAGTAATGATTCTTTGATTTTATCAATTAACATTAATGCTCTAGGCAATTTGTAATCACTGCAGTTGTCCTTAACTTCCAAGGAATTGGTCACATAAGGGTAACGACGTAGATACTGTACAAACTGTTCTGTGTGAAATATTACTACTAAATAATAATGAACAAAATATTAACTTTCTAATTCAGGAAATTCAATAATTCAGGTCTCTGGTGTTCATCATTAATGTCCAGAACTAACTGTTGAATGCCATGCATTTCCCACTAGATTAATCATTCCATCTGAAATTGGGAGTGATGAATTTTGCCTTGTCATTCAAAGACGAAGATCCCAAAATCTACATCCAGAGACAAATCTTCCAGAAACATCTTCAAACACACGTGGCTATAATGGTTCATATGCGACTTACCAAGATTTTCGCCGCGACACTCATGCACCTTGACTTGGTGAGTGTTAGGACTCCTGAAACATTTCTACTATGAATGCATATTAATTCTAATTCTACATCTACATCTGACTTGCCTTTTATGCTGTATTGTACTACACAGGAAAACACATATGTAAATGCATTTATTCTCCAAAATTTAGTAATTTGTACATTTATCTATTCTTAGACTATTTAACAATGCTCTATCAATTGCAAGGCTTCTAATGTCCAACTTCATACATAAATTCTCTTAGTAAGGCCAATAATAAAACACCAACTTTTCACTGAGTGACTGGAACCCAAAAACTTGGTGTTTGATTACTTTGCTGGCATTATGCAATTTCATTAACTCATAGTAATCACAAACTAACACTATTTAGGATTTGAGGTTTCCACAGTGGTGAATCTGGAGATTGCTGTCTTCTGGGTTGTTGCACTGTGTAGTCTGGTCGATGTTTACCAACGTTTCAGAGGTCATACTGCCTCCGTCATCAGAGTATGAAGATTTCTGTCTTCTGGGTTGTTGCGCTGTGTAGTCAGGGCGATTCTGATGACGGAGGCAGTATGACCTCTGAAACGTTGGTAAACATCGACCAGACTACACAGTGCAACAACCCAGAAGACAGCAATCTCCAGATTCACCACTGTGGAAACCCTGTAGATGGATGGCAATACTTTCACTAGCAGACAAGAGGAGCAATTGACATGCCTCTAAATCCACAACTAACTTTTTGGCCCTGAAGATGGAGACAGTATGTTTCTCCAAAATGTTGATGTACACCTACAACTCCACACAATTTTACAACCCAGAAGACCAACATCAACAGATGAGCAGATTTGTTGTGGACTGTATGCTTGCATGTTTAAACAGTTTTCCTGCATCAATATGTGCGCTACATAATTTCAGAACAGGAAACACTCTCAATATGCTTCAGTTGAAAAACTGAAAATTTAATTTTTAAAATTATTGTGATACAGAACTGAAGAGAACTATAAACCAGTTCATTCCAGTCCAGCCAAAATTTAAATATGCAGAAAAAACAGTATAACTATTAATGGGAGAATAAAAACAGGCAAGATTGTAAAATAAGTAGTCACAGGAATTATTTATCAGATACACTGTGCTACTGCAAATAGAATACAAAACACACTTAGTCTTATGCCAGCACACATACTCAACTCATAAGTTCGCTTTACGACTGCAGAACCCAGAAATGTCACTGTAAATTAACTGATTCCCTGATTATCCTGAGGTACGAGGTGCGTCCCAAAAGTAAGTTTCCCACTCGTCCCACAGCTAGCAAACCTTATATTCAGCGAAGCGACTGTGCGTACGTGATAGAGCAATGACGTAGCATGGCGCATGCACTAACGGCACTTCCCGCGTTATCACAGTAGCATCGTTACAGCTGTTGAAGATGGAGGTTCTTATTCCAGCTCCCGCCGACTGTGAAGTGCAGTCAGTGATAACGCTAGGCCGCACACGGCTCGACGGACAGCAAGTCTCCTGCAGGAGTTCAGCTGGGAGGTGTTTAATCATCCACCCTACAGCCCGGACCTCGCTCCCAGTGATTTCTATCTTTTCCTACACCTCAAGAAATTCCTGTCCGGTCAGCGTCAGCGTTTTGAGAATGACAGAGAGGCGGAGATGGTGGTCACACAGTGGTTCCAATCCCAGGCGGCAGACTTCTACGACACAGGTATTCAAAAGTTGGTCCCACGGTATGACAAATGTCTCAATTCCGGTGGCGAATATGTTGAAAAATAGCTGGACACTTGCTGTATCTGTTGCAATAAATATTTCCATGAAATTGTGTTTTGTTTCTGTAAACGGCCCCAGGGAAACTTACTTTGTAGACCAGCCTCGTATTACTAAACTGAGCTGATTTGCGTCAATGAAGAAAATTTGTATATCAGACTCTAAATGTAAGTAAACGACAGGCTGCTGAACTTTCATAAGCCAGTGTTGATATATATTTTTTTTGAATAGGAGGAAATTTTTTTTATATATTTTCAGAAAAATTATAAAGGTTAAAGTTAAATACCTGGTACACAGTCCAGAAATCATAAAATTTACAGCATTCCTGTGTTATGTACAAACTGTATTAAAATTATTTTATGATGATGTAAAATAAGGAAATGCTATACTATTACCATAAATTTCTGCTACATTCATGTGATTATTTACAAGGTACCACTTTACAAAATGTTAAGAAACAGAACTTCCTAGAATGTTATGTACACGTTTGTTAAAATATAACTCGCAAAACATGTATCTAGGGATATAAGCTTACATGTGACAAAATCAGTAGTGGGGCACGAAATAGTAGTGCCTTAAGCAAGAAAACATCTTGCTGATGAATGCCCTAAACAACTTCACTGTACTATATTACCACTAAGTAATAAATGAAGACAGATGTTACAATTTCCCTGCAACATGCAAGTTTCTATGTTTTTTCATATCTTGCTTCTGTGCAAAGCAACGACCACATATATCACAGGCATGTGGTTTTTCACCTGTATGAATTCGGATATGAATTTTAAGCCCATTTGACCTACGGAATGCTTTTCCACAATATTCACAGGGGTATGGCTTTTTGCCTTGGTGGATCCACATGTGTTGATAATAAGAATGACTCGTTCTGAATGCTTTTCCACATACATTGCATTTAAAAGGGCGTTCGCCGGTGTGTTTACGGAGGTGAGCATCACGCACATCTTTTAGTCTGAAGCGATTACCACATACTTCACACTGGTAGGGTTTTTCACCTGTGTGTAAACGAAGATGTGAGTACAGGTGGGCACTCTGAACAAACCGCTTACCACATATGTCACAACCAAATGGCTTCTCCCCTGTATGTGTACGATGATGCAGCACTAAGGAACGTTTTTGAGAAAATCTTTTTTCGCAGAAATCGCAGCCAAACGGCAACTCTCCAGTATGATTCCTACAATGTGCCACTAAAGTTACACGATATGCAAATGACTTTCCACAGTCCTCACACTTAAATGGTTTTGTATTGTGTGGAGTTGCATCATCCTCAAAAGCTTTAACTAAAGGATGTGAATCTTTCCTGTGCTCAACAAGTTTGGCATAAGTAGGGAAGACAGCATCCATGCACAACTTGCAACTGTACATTCTGGGCTGTTTGTTCTCATCTACATGTGCCATAACATGTTGTTTAAATAACGTCTTGCGAGCAAAACAACGCCCACATTTATCGCACTGAAAAGGTTTCACATCCATGTGTGTGACTCGATGGCCCTTAAGTGTGGCATTGTCATAGAATTTTCCTCCACAAATATCACAAACAAAGGGACGTTCACCGGTATGTACACGTTGATGGGCAATGAGACGTGCCTTCAGCTGGAAGGATTTCCCACACTGTTCACATCTATGTGCTTTCTCACCCATGTGCACCAAACGCACATGATCGAAAAGATTGTTTTCTCTACTGAATTCCTTACCACAGTGCTCACAAACCACAGGACTACCACCTTCATGGACCTGCTGATGAAATTCGAGTCTGGCCTCGGTGCGGAAAAATTTACCACATTCTGGACACTTGAAAGGTCGTGTTGCACTGAAACAATTATGTCCAGCCAATGTCCTGGAATTGTTGAACCTTCTCCCACATGTGGGACAGACCAGACGCTTGGAGCCTTTGGGTCGTAACTGCCTCTCTTCCGCTTTGTGTTCCTCACAGTGACTTACCAGGCATAATTCACTTGTGAAACACAACTCACAGAGACTACAAGGGTAAAGATCTGACTCCACGTGACACTTGGCATGGTCCAAACAGAGATCTATGTCCGCGAATGTCTCGCCACAAAGACGGCAGCTGGGAAATTCTATCTTTGGGTGCAATAAGGTTACAGTTCCGTCTACCACACCATATATTTTATCTTTGCTTATAATTTTGTCTTCTTGTGAAATATTTCCCAAAGTAACATTATCCATTGGCCCACTCTCATCCCATATATTACTACTGTCCTCACTGGTTTCAGCATTTTGTATTAATATGTCATGAACAGTATTAAATTCTTCTGAGTGATGCACATGGTTTTTCTTATATATTTTTGCCCCAATCTCCTTTAATAATGCCAAATCACCATTTCCACAACCTTCAGGTGTGTCACTTTGAATTGACATATTGCCATCGCAACAAAGAGGACAGAAAAAAGAACTTTGTGCTCTATAGATTTCCTCGATACAACTAGCTTCCTGAATACCATTAATGGCTGATCCCTGTTTTGTTCTTGTGCAATATGTCACACTTCCACTGACAAAGCTGCTGTCTATACCATTCAGTTGACCTTTACCAGCATTTTCAAGCTCATGTTCAGATTTGATGGCTATAATAGCAACATCTGCTTTACTGTCTTCCATGTTATATACAGCACGTGACCTATAACACGAAATAACAATATTGAAGAACCACGGGCTGTAATGTAAAAATAAAAAAACATACAGAGAAACAAAAAGTATTGACCAGTATAAATGCTTCAGTTACACACAGAGTATTTTAAAATTAACATTTGTGTACAATGGCCAAAAGTGTTGAACACCAAATATGAGACCCTCATATAATAGTACGGCTAAAAGACGGAAACGTAGTTTAAAACTTCACATTCTCAGAAACGCCAATCTGATAAAATTCAACCGAGTAATTTCCCAAAGGGCAGTATCTACTAGTTCCTCCTTAATCTTCTTAACTGATTATTAGTTTATACATTGTTATGTCATTTTTGCAAAAGTTGAGAGCATGTAATTGTTACATAACTGCCTGTTGCAACAACAAAGTTATATATATATATATATATATATATATATGTCACATGAAGAATTTGAACTTTCAGAGTCTGGGCAATTTTTTCTGGACCTATACTAAAGGCATTTTTCAGATTTACAATTTATCTATGATTTTACAAGATCGTATTTAAGAAAAAGTTATTTTGTATTGGTCTTAAAAACCATTATCTCAGTAATTGTTGTCCACAGAAAAGTAAAAATATGACGAACATAATTTGAAGTGCCTGCCTGAATTAATTATTCTATAAATAGGCATATACCATGCATAATACATAGGGTTACACACAATTTTTTGCTACAGAAAAAACAAACAAACAAACAAACAACAACAGGTCAGTAACAAATCTCAAAATGCAGAATATGTCAACACACCTGAAGTGCTTCCTTTCATTCAATTCAAGCAGTTTATTTTCTGCCTGAATGCAAGATTCAGCAAATTCGTGACACATGTTCAACTTGTTGATGCAAGTTGTACACAGTTGTTTTGGCAGCGGATCTGTACTTTTAACCTGCGGATCAGATTAATGAGGAAAGATTACCTTGAAGCAATATCAAACGAACAATAAAATCTAGCTGATACAAATAAGCACAATGTTTTGAAAAGCATATTCCTTATAGTAGCAATTCAAACCATACATATCTGGATCATCCTATGCACCATAATTTCTTTTAAAAGTACCAACAATACTAAGACATATTTACAGAACACTTCATCTACAAATGCTATAAAAACAAAAACAGGTTAATCATTTTGACCTCCAAGTGCTGACTGCATTCATTCAAGCAACGGTACCATCACATTAACATACATACATATACTGTTTTCAATGAATACAAATTGAAATGAGCTGCAATTATAAAACTTAGCATATCTGGCTACCCGAAGCTTGAAGAAACAAACAACAAACTCTTCGACTACTGAGATTTTGAACTTGTTCATCATCCATTATTCTAGAACATGTTTTGAATAGTGGATTTCTCCTCATCCTCAGCTATAAGGAAGAGGGTCCATTAGAAACAGCTAGCCTCGTTCACTGGACAACTCCCCCCCCCCCCACTAGCAACATCTGCTTTACTGTCTTCCATGTTATATACAGCACGTGACCTATAACACGAAATAACAATATTGAAGAACCACGGGCTGTAATGTAAAAATAAAAAAACATACAGAGAAACAAAAAGTATTGACCAGTATAAATGCTTCAGTTACACACAGAGTATTTTAAAATTAACATTTGTGTACAATGGCCAAAAGTGTTGAACACCAAATATGAGACCCTCATATAATAGTACGGCTAAAAGACGGAAACGTAGTTTAAAACTTCACATTCTCAGAAACGCCAATCTGATAAAATTCAACCGAGTAATTTCCCAAAGGGCAGTATCTACTAGTTCCTCCTTAATCTTCTTAACTGATTATTAGTTTATACATTGTTATGTCATTTTTGCAAAAGTTGAGAGCATGTAATTGTTACATAACTGCCTGTTGCAACAACAAAGTTATATATATATATATATATATATATATATGTCACATGAAGAATTTGAACTTTCAGAGTCTGGGCAATTTTTTCTGGACCTATACTAAAGGCATTTTTCAGATTTACAATTTATCTATGATTTTACAAGATCGTATTTAAGAAAAAGTTATTTTGTATTGGTCTTAAAAACCATTATCTCAGTAATTGTTGTCCACAGAAAAGTAAAAATATGACGAACATAATTTGAAGTGCCTGCCTGAATTAATTATTCTATAAATAGGCATATACCATGCATAATACATAGGGTTACACACAATTTTTTGCTACAGAAAAAACAAACAAACAAACAAACAACAACAGGTCAGTAACAAATCTCAAAATGCAGAATATGTCAACACACCTGAAGTGCTTCCTTTCATTCAATTCAAGCAGTTTATTTTCTGCCTGAATGCAAGATTCAGCAAATTCGTGACACATGTTCAACTTGTTGATGCAAGTTGTACACAGTTGTTTTGGCAGCGGATCTGTACTTTTAACCTGCGGATCAGATTAATGAGGAAAGATTACCTTGAAGCAATATCAAACGAACAATAAAATCTAGCTGATACAAATAAGCACAATGTTTTGAAAAGCATATTCCTTATAGTAGCAATTCAAACCATACATATCTGGATCATCCTATGCACCATAATTTCTTTTAAAAGTACCAACAATACTAAGACATATTTACAGAACACTTCATCTACAAATGCTATAAAAACAAAAACAGGTTAATCATTTTGACCTCCAAGTGCTGACTGCATTCATTCAAGCAACGGTACCATCACATTAACATACATACATATACTGTTTTCAATGAATACAAATTGAAATGAGCTGCAATTATAAAACTTAGCATATCTGGCTACCCGAAGCTTGAAGAAACAAACAACAAACTCTTCGACTACTGAGATTTTGAACTTGTTCATCATCCATTATTCTAGAACATGTTTTGAATAGTGGATTTCTCCTCATCCTCAGCTATAAGGAAGAGGGTCCATTAGAAACAGCTAGCCTCGTTCACTGGACAACTCCCCCCCCCCCCCCCTTACACCTGAGGATGAAGAGAGATCCACTCTTCAAAACACTGTGTTTTAGAATACTGAATGATGGACAATGTCCAAAAACTAAGTAATCTACAATATATTACACCATTGTCAGAACCCTTTAGAATCAACATATCTCTAAACTAAATTACAAAGGTAACTCACCGTTACAGGTAAACATGTATTAATTTTCTCAGCAATATGTTGTTCCTTCCCAGTGGCACTGAAAATGTACACTACTTCCTTAATAGCAGATGCACAGAGTCGGCAGAGTTGGCCTGGAAGTTCTGGTACTAATTCTTCAACCACCCCTTCAAGGTCACTGTCATAATCAATTTCAACCTGTGGCATCGATCCTCGTTCTTGCTTGATCACTACTTCACAGTTTTCTATTAAAGATTACAAAATATGGATGTACACAAAAGCAAATTAAAGTCACAAATATAGCAAGGATGCAGAAGAGAACAAAATTAATGCTAGTTACTTCCATAAATAAACTCTGTGTAGCTTTACTTTCTTATATACATACTCAATATTATTACTAACAATTTGGACCAGTGGTCCCCAACGCGGCGCTCACCAAGGCTTTTTTCGGGTGCCCACGTCGATACGGAAAGAGGTTATACTGAACAATGAAGGCCGTTCAACCACGAGCATTATAAAATCAAAGCGCGGATCTCGACTTACTGACGCCCATCTTGACGATTGTTTTCGAGCAGCAACATCATCCTACACTTCCAAATTTGAAAAACTGGCCGATGAAATGCAGTGCCAAACATCACACTAACTTCCCACTTGAGTAATAATAATTGTACACATAAAACTACGTATTTTTGATTACAAGGTTTCTTGTATCATTAAACGTCGTGTTGCGTATTATTTGTGTCCATATCTTATTTGTCCAGATAAAAGAACATTTGGCTTTGTTAATTGGTTGGTGCCCGCCACGATCTCATAAACAATCAAATGTGACCGTAGGCGCATAAAGGTTGGGAAGCACTGATTTGGACAGTATGGGCATAGTTGCATTTAATGAGGCTGAATTGATTGAACTGGAAGAAAATAAGTTTTATACCATTCATTCACTACATAAAACTGGGTACACATTAGAGTTCTTTCTTAGTATGCAGTTCATAAGCCCCCGCTGACCCATGGCTTTTCTAAGTGACCCACTGATAAAAGTTTTAGCCTGCTGTGCACCTTGCAACCATGCACAGTTCTTTCAAGCCTTTCAGAATACTGTTTGCATGATTTCAACCCCATAAGTTTCTGACAGGTCACATAATTCATTTTCTTATGTCACATTAAAAACAATGCAATCAATGATTCAAATATGTGCTTTACTTTTGTAATTTTTGTCAGTATTAAACATGGCTTTGCACAGGAGAGACAGATAATTATATTCTGTCTGAATTAGATGCAAATACTTGTTCTAATGTTTCCAATAACAAGGAATGTGTGAACAGTTATATCACCATAACTAATTTGGGTAACAATCACAAACTTTTCCTTTAGTTTTTATTATACGTGAGAAATATGTTTGCAAGCTCCAGTCCCAAGTTTGCATATTTTTTAATGTGTATGTTGTATTTCCACAACCGCTCATTAAAATTATGCACTTGTAAATTATTCAACTATATGTTTCAACACATCCATGTGAAACTCATACCAAAAGCAACTAAAAATGGATACCAAAATATCCTTAATTTGTTGAACTGTTGTTTATGCAGTCCAGTAGCTTTGTGTTAATGAATGAAAATAATCATTAGTATCATCAATCACATTATTACTATATTACCTGTGCTGCATTAGGAAGGCTAGAATTGCGAGGGAACCAGGTATTATTTTTATTTTTTACAACGGGACTGCACATGCAAGTTTACTGGAAATCCTGTCATTCCTTCAGACGTCAAATTAATATGAGATGCTTTTAGAGCATCTTCATATAATTTAAGGGTTATTAGCATTTATGTATTAAAATAAACATGTATTAATGTTATAATAGTCAGGGCAGAATGAAAATAAAACAGGCTTAATTAATTTTGCGCTAAGGTTAAATGGTCCTCAGGCTAGGAGAAAAAATTTAAAAAATTTTCCTGTGCAGATCTCTAAAGCACACTATCCAGTGAAAATAAACTGGACGAAACTGTTGCTGCTGGGAACGGAAAGGAGTGTCCTGTAAAACAGTGTAGACTTTGTAATGAACACAAAAAATGCAACAAAAAATATATACTTGTAAATTGTGTCATTCTGCTACATAAAGTTTTCTATTTTGTCACTTATTACTCAGTGAAGCATACCAGACCATCTCCAAGCAGTTTTCTCAGTACTGGGCTAAGGAGCATCACACAAAAATAAAAAATTAAATAAAAAGTTTATTTTAAAAAAGTTTACAACTTCTATGAACTATTTTTCACTCCAGTCAAAACATTACAGAATATAATTAAAACTGTATTTAATAACATTTTAAGTGCTAATATATGTATCCTTGTCTAGCCTAAAATTGCAGGTGGTTGCAAGTTTCAGAAATATCACATTGCATTCAAATCTTTTCCGACAGTGATATTACGGAACAGATAAGGTGAAGCTACTAAGTGTTCATTAACGGCTGGAAAAATTGTATAAATAATTGCAGAAAATGAAACTATAGAAAGAAAATAGATAATATGAAAAATGTGCTAAATACTTATGTGGAGTATAGATGGAGCAATGCATTATTCATTCACAGGCACACACAGAGATATGGAAAGGATACAGCATTAATTTGCTAATAACTTTATTACTGTTCCAAATGACAACGATAAAAATAAAAAAATTATTTCACAGATACACTTACCTTCTACGATGATTTGATCGCCATCTATTATTTCTATAGGAACACCATTCTGACTACTGAAGTCAAATAATGTTGGAATAGCTCTCTTTTTCAGTCTTTGTTTAGTATCATCAACAAACTCACTGGCTATGAAATGATCAGAACATGTAACATAATGCTGACTCACTAAGGCACATGGCTTATCCAATAAGTCAAGCCGTCTACAAACCAACAGCCAATGCCGGCACCTACAAACATAGATAAAAATTAAATTAATTTTGCAGAATGTCTGTATTCAGACTACTAAGGCAGACAGAATGTGACTAACCTGTCCTCAGAAACTGGAAAATGGAAAAAACTTTTATTTGGACATGAGGCCTCAACATTATTGCATCCAGGTACAGCACACTGCAATGACTGCACAACACTAGCATCTTCATCTTCATATTTTGGTCCATTTTCTTCAGCAGCACCAATATCTATACAAAATAAACATCATACCTTGCAAAACAACTGATGATTTCTCCTGTAATATCTAAATGTTCAACAATGTTTTTCAGTCTGGTAGCTAAAAATATTCGTATTCCCAACAGGTACTTTACAAATATGAACACTGATTTAAAAGATAAATGATATACTGGAAATTTTCTAAGAACATTGTCCCGCGCCGTAGCCGCGCGGTCTGAGGCATCATGCTTCGGACCGGCGATACGGAATGCGCGCTGGTTCGAGTCTCGGGGGAGAAGAAATTTTCTCATGAGCTTTCGACCAGTGTATGGGACCGGTGCCAACCCAGCATCGTGAGGAAATTGGGGAGCTACAATGAGTAGCGTAATCCGGTCATGAAAACTTGAAATGGCTGGGGGTTCGTCATGCTGACCACACGTCACCCTATATCTGGTTGGATGATCGTTCACCTCTGCTTAGGCATGTGAACGTGAGGCCAGCAGTCAAGCTAGTCGGCTTTGGCTCTCTGGAGCTGTTACGCCACGGATTTAATTTTTTTTCTAAGAACATTATTCTAACCCTCCTTGAATGCATTTCACTCCTTAATGGTGAACAGGGTTAAGAATAAGAAATATCTGCAATGCAACAAGGATTTGTTTTTCATTTTTTTCACATAAGCAACAGAACTGAGAAAGTTATGCATAGTTTATAACTCTTAATTTATGTACCAATACACTAAATTATACTTTCAGAAAACCTTCATACTACTGTTTACTGTATGTTTATCAAATATAAATACATCTTTGGTAGAAATGACAAGTGTGTCTGACTGTCAGACTTTGAGTAAATAAGGTGTGCAAATGGACCTTTTCTGCAAGAAATCAGAACAGCATAGTACTTCACCTAAATCATCTCAGAACTTCCTGATGCTGGAATTTATATTGATGTTCTTGAAAGTCCTGCAGGTGGAACATCATACATTTCCATTTTTGGGTAACTCATGAAAATTATGTAATTTTGTAGTATGTTTCAACTATAATACATATCCAAATTTTCCAACAGCAGCAATCAATGTTTATACCCTAAAAGTATTCTCATAAATCTACAAATTTTAGATAACATAGTGTGAATCTAATCAAATATTGCGGGCAGTGTTAACTGTATCCATTTCCTGACTTGACACAGAATGACCCCTACGAAATCCATTTACTCAAACTATCAATCAAAGCAAGAAACTTGTCATACAAGTAAATGTGTCAGCGTTAACAAAACAGCAAAAATACAATACCACACTCTTCATCCAGTAACCCAAAAAATTCAACTGTAAGATAGCGTAAAAAATTATAAGCATCTCCCATACATTGTTTTACATTCAATGACATGACAGAAAAATAATGTTTGAATTAAATGAAATAATTCAAAGGCACAACCCCTTCATGCCACCTCCATTATAGCGACAACTGACAAAGTTTCAAAGAATCCTGAGTCTCTGAGGATGTGTCTGTCATGACAGTATGAACAGCACACAACAAAGTTACTTGTTGTTTGCTTCTTTTTAAATTGAACTGATTTTGTTCATTTAGTAATATTATAAATATCCAGCAGCTGACAGCTTGTGAGTGCAAACACACTACCCTATTATGTAAGTCATCCAAAGTACAGAGACATTTATTTATTTATTTAGTGTTCTGTCTGACGACAGGTCCATATGAACAGGATCCTTCCATCCTTTTCTCGGACTGGGACCTGTTCATAAACGTTCTTGGCAGATGATCCAGAAGTGGTTTGCCATTGCCTTCTTCTGTGTGTGAATGGAGTAATTGTTGGGATGCCACGAAGGAAAACTCCGTGTTGCCTAGACCACGGCCTCGCCCAACACAAGTTATAAATTCGGGCACCGCCGGGAATCGAACCCGAGACCCCAGGATTACAAGGCCAGCGTTCTAACCGCTAGACCACCGTGGCTATACAGAGACATTAGCTGAAAGAAATTTTATTATACATTGTGTGTTAATCAGCCTTAAATCATGTAAGTATATACGCTTGCATAACCTGAAAATCACATGCCCAATATAAACAGTAACAAAAACATGATACATATAAGAAACTAATACAAACCGTCAAAAAAATATTCTGCAACGATTTGGTCATCTGTTATTTTCTTCCCTTTAAAATTCAATTGCTGAAGATCAAGCTGAATGCCTGATTCATTTTGAATTCTTGTCTTTAGGTCATAGAAAGTATCATCAGGCTTGACATCAATTGTGATGCTTTCACCACTCACATTTTTTAATACTATCTTCATGCTGAAACAAATTTCAGACTCAAGAACAGTACAAAACTACTAGCATCAGTACAATTTCTTGCAAGATGCTTCTTGTGTGGAATGTTTTATGGGGAGTAGTACATAGGTAAGCAAACGTAATCAAATGTACTCTTTGTAACCAAACTTTACAAATACATATGCAATGAAATATGGACGAAACAGAAACCTGTCTTCCCTGGAATATTTATCTGAAACTGACAAAAAAGAAGGATATTTATAAAACGAAGCTTTCGCGGCGACTGAAGTTGATGAAAGACTCTCGGGTTACCCAGCAGCCCTGAGGATGAGAGCAGAGATTGTTCTTGGAACGTTGGCAGAAGATTCAGCCACCTGAGCTTGTAACCTGAGAGTCTTTCATCAACAGAAGGATATTTACTTAATTGCTACAGACTGCCTAACAAAAGAAAAAGAAGTATTCAAAATAGAATGTAAAAATTTAATGAACTCTCACGTAGCTTTCTTAACTTGTAGCTCCATACACAAAACAGACTAAGATGTATTTCAATTCTGTATTATATTTCCCAGAATTTACCTGCATTTGTCTTTTGTTTATAATTATGAATTGGACCCTCGTGAAAAATCTTAGCTTGTTTTGAAATAGAGAAGGTCCACCTTGTCTCATGACTGTTGTAATACCACCTAGTTGTAAAAATGTGTTCTGAAAAAAATACATGTTGGACTTATATACAAAAGTAAAACCAAATTAAGCAATTGAAAACAAAAATTGAACATGGCTGCCATGTTTAAGAAAAATACAGGTTTAAAAATGTTGAACAGAAAGGAATAAGCAAAAATGTGTTATGAAGTAGGAATGTTTCTGTAAAAATAACGCTGGAAACCAACTACAAGACTATATGGTGATATAACCCAGATGACCACAATCCATACTTTCACAGTTATGAAAACCTCAGATCTCATGCAGATGACTGGGAAGCTATAAGCTATGTCAGGCCATCCTTTCTCTGACCTTAGAAGCTGGGGAAAGGCAAAATAGTTAAGGTAATGTTCTGAAATCAATGATGTGAAATGGTGATACTACAATATTCATAACAAAACCTGTGCTGCATGTCACATGATTAATTAATGTATTTAATTTAATTCTACAGATTTACAACCACCTCAATCATCTACTAAAGTAATTTGTCAATTATGATATTATAAAGTTGTAGCGTGGTAATGAATGGTAAATGTGATGCTATAGCAACATTATGATATAATGATATGACATTTCATAAGTAAAGGTAGAATTTCCTGCAATTAGTTTGCTAATGAAAAACTCTTATTATAGTTGTACATAATTTGTAATTGTGAGTAAGCTTTTAACATGTAATCCTCCATACATACATACACACACAAAAGTAATAGTAACAGTTACTAATTCTTAGAGCTGTGAGACAATTAGTGCTACAATTGAAAAATGTGACAGCCACAAAATAACTGTTCACATCCTTTAATTCAAGCTATGCAGAGAGAAGCTTATTTTGCATATATTAGTAAAACAATGACCAAAACTGAAGCTATGTTGGTTTCTAGGCATAAGCAAGTTTAAAAAATAGACAAGTATTTATTGTGCAATTTATTACTAAATTTTATGGGATAGATGTTATAACTGTCAAATGGTTTTTAATACACAACCATTCCAACTCATTCCAAACAAGAGTTTACTGCCCCTTGTATTATTCCAAATTAATGAATTGCCACTTTCAATGGTGGATGTGCTTCTGGAGAAAAAGTGCAACATCTTCTTTCAGCATGATGGGATGATCCACATTTTGGTTACCAAATTACTGCTTACTTGAAATACCATTACAAAAATTTGTGGATGTCATCGTGGTTCAATACCTTGGTAGATGAGACCTCTGAACCTAAGCCTGCATGATTTATTTTCATGGGGTCTAAAGAAAGATATGATCTCCAGGACCAAACTATACATAAGAGGAACACGTGCATCAGATTACGCATGCTACTTAAATATGAGAACGCCCTGAAATGGCTTACATTAAGACTTGTACAGTAACTAACTGAATGAGTGTCATACACAATGGTTAATATAAAATACTGTATTTCTGGTGTGCATCACGAAACAATACCACCTGTGAGAGAAATATGCAGATGGGAAAATGATGTAATGAACTGCATAAGATAGAGTATAATGATTATATGCAACGCAGTAAACTGGCTAAGATAGGACTCAAATAAGTTTTTGTGACGAGGAAAAAGTTACGGTTTTAAAATTCCAGGAAAATGGTTTTAATCATTGTAGATAGTTTATCATGTGAGCACGTACAGCGGATTATGTACGTGTATATTTTCATATAGCAACTCCTTTATGGAGACATGTTCTGCAACAAAGCATGAACTGAGAATAAAACGAGCCCTCAAAGCTGAAAAGTCGAAAACGGTTAATTTTAAAAAAATATAAATTCAATGGTAAAAGATTCCTACAATAATTCGTATTGAACCAACACATCTAAAACACTAAAAATCCATTCTTAATTCAAAAGCGTCATGCTAGGATCTGAACACAAGCCATAACATCAACCAGCTCCTCACAACTCAAGAGGGCAGCCATTTTTTTTAATCCAGCATACAAGATGAACAAGTTGTTTACAAAGTGTCTTAGAAGCCGTGAAAATACCGGGAACATTCTAGTGTATTCCTCAACAACCCTGGCTTTGAAGATCCCTTATAAAGTAACCAATACCTTTATGCATATAATCGTTTTAAACACTACGATGGACACTATCAAAGGAAATTTAACTCTTCTTTAACACCCATCACTAACATACACATAACAGTCCCTTGTAATACGTTCTTAGAGTAGTCGGTATCAGTGAACTGTAGAAAAGGAGTTAAGTGACGGCACGAACACGATCACTGAACAAAGCGTTACTGAGCGTGTAATGTTTACAATTTTTCTCTCATATTCTTTCCGGTGAACATATTACGCGATTCAGTGTTAAATATAATGTTGCTTAAAGAAGTATATAATGTTCTATATCAAATATATGGCTTCTACAATAATGTATTTCATTATTAATATCGTACGTACTCCATGCCCTGTGGTCAACTGTGATCTTATATCGGATCCCAGACGAAATAAGTGCGTTTAATGAACCAAATTAGTATATGACAAATAGACGAATTTGCTTAAATGTGAGAATAAGTGTTCTCAAATCAAAATAGCCTAACCGCTTTATCCCACTACCATTATCCAATTAAATGTCATATGCATACAGAAGGATATTCGCCAATTCCATTGACCTGTCCTGTACCAATGAAATATTATTTCATAATAGTTTGCTCTGAATTACGAGCACATTTGCATAAAAATAAAATATCTATATTAAATAATACAAAATGGGACATAAATATTATGCTGTTATCTCTCCAGCAGGTCATTTTTAAATTTAACATACACAACAGACCAAACCAAATCACTCAAGTTTAATTTATTCTAAATGCAAACGAATCGGCATCAATGATTCTTGCATACAGCATTTTAGTCTGTTGTATGCTTTGTGAGCATACTGTATAGCATATAGCTAATCTATGACTTTGACACATCATTAATATAAATGTAAAGCCATTCACTGTGCCGTGACTCTCAGATCAAGGGTTTATTTAGTTCAACTAATTTTTATTGTTTATTAACATGGTCAAGAAATGTATTGTAATTTAATTTTTGTGAGTAGAAAAGCCAAGTAGGATTTGGAGTTGTCACAGTAGTGAGTCTGAAGTTAGGTTGTAGCACCTTGCAGTCTGGTAGAACCAAAAGCCAACTGCTGGATGAGACAACATTACCAAACACCTCAGGCACACAAATGTTTGATTTGTTGACCTCAGATGACATGACCAGCCTAGAGGCAAAAGGAAGCTTGTGCAACTCACTGCTAACAGCATTAAGTTGAAGCCAGATACTGGTGATCAGTAGTGCAAGATAGAGATCTTTTTACGATAATATCCAAATGAAGATCTGAACACCTAAAAGCAACCACCATAAATAAGCCAACATAAACTCATAATTCAGTAACAACAGTCTTTCAGTGTACCATCAAAACATTACAGGTCCACCAAATAAAACTGATAAACTATTTTTGTTTGTTTGTCACCAGTCTTTTGACTGGTTTGATGTGGTCCTCCATTTTCGCCTATCTTGCTCCAGTCTCCTCATTTCCGCATATTTTTCGCAGCCCACATCCTCAAAAATCTGTGTCACATATTCCAATCTTTGTCTCCCCCTACAATTCTTCCCTTCAACTGTTCCTTCCATTACCAAATTAACCAATCCTGGGCGCCTCAGAATGTGTCCCACCATCCCATCTCTTCTTCTCCTAAGATTTTTCCATAGACTTCTTCCTTCGCCTATCCTGTCTAAGACCAGCTCAAGACTTTATCAATCACAATTATAATTTGAATTATACACCAACAACTTTGGGGGTACAAAGTTGAAGAGAAATTATATCTGGGGGTACGCGAAGACATCTTAGGGGGTATGTGAAATTTTAAAAAAAATATTATTTTATGATAAACACTGAATAATCAGTAATGTAATTTATTTAATTTATTTTAGATGTAGATTATATACTACGTATAACTTGAATTATACACCAACAACTTTGGGGGTACAAAGTTGAAGAGAAATTATATCTGGGGGTACGCGAACAAAAAAGGTTGAATACCACTGCCTGCTTCAGTAAAGATTGCGAACCATTTTAGAGTTTCTTTCGACGCTATGGACACTGAGTCTGGAAACAGAATGGCTGTTAAGTTACAAAATATTTGTGCCTCCTTCTGCAGTGTGGGTATAAACGAATAAACAGTGTTTAATGTGACATAACGTGAACTACTGGTATTGTAAAGAACAGGTTCTGGCTTAACTCTGGGTTATAATGGTAATTATATACAAAAGAAAGTGGTTCAATAATGTTGTGGCTTACAGATAAGAACTGAGAGACAAGAAACATGATAAACAGGATGGCCAGCTTCGGATATTGGTTAGTACATTTATAAGATGTGAATCATGATATCAAGTGGATTTTTTACAATTTATTCTTCATTTTAATTGTACAATATAATATATTTGAAAAAAGGCAATTTTAACATAACACTATGCAGGTTGGTCATCACCCTTGATTGTCCTGGTGTATATCACTTGTGCATGGTGTTTGATCACCTGTTTGATCAAGCCTGTAACAGAAATGATCATGTAACTACATGAAATCAATAATTCATGCCCTGCAAAATTACCTTTAACATTAAACCACTGAGGTTGGGTCTCTGATGATTATTTATATTTATTTATTTAGTGTTCTGTCTGACGACAGGTCCATATGAACAGGATCCTTCCATCCTTTTCTCGGACTGGGAACTGTTCATATACGTTCTTGGCAGATGATCCAGAAGTGGTTTGCCATTGCCTTCTTCTGTGTGTGAATGGAGTAATTGTTGGGATGCCACGGAGGAAAACTCCGTGTTGCCGAGACCACGGCCTTGCCCAACACAAGTTATAAATTCGGGCACCGCAGGGAATCGAACCCGAGACCCCAGGCTTACAAGGCCGCTAGACCACCGTGGCCATCATTTATTTCTTTAGTGTTCTGTCTGACGACAGGTCCCTATGAACAGGATCCTTCCATCCTTTTCTCGGACTGGGACCTGTTCATATACGTTCTTGGCAGATGATCCAGAAGTGGTTTGCCATTGCCTTCTTCTGTGTGTGAATGGAGGAATTGTTGGGATGCCACGGAGAAACCAGGGAAGCCCCAGGAGGAAAACTCCAATATTAAATATCTTAATTGTTAGTTTTACATACAAATGGTGCATGTGCAGGGGTCACCATGCTAAAAACTGCCATCATATTACTGTACTAAACTATAAACGTACTATGGGAAAAATGCCGAGTTACTAAATCTTAAAGATGGTTCACAAAGTTAGCAATAAAATTATTTGATATTACAAATTTCAGCAGAATATTCTAAAATAAATGAACAACCAATCACATGACAGCTTAAATAATACCATTATTAGACATTTACAGATTATGAAAGGAAGTGTGGATCTCAGTCACTGTACCATTTTGAAAACTAAAACAAATTAACGTCACCTTTGGGAAGAATTATAATGGTGTCAAATTTTGTCATGCACATCAGGAATTCAACACAATTTCTTGTTTTCAACGTAACTTAAGCACTATGCAGCAAATATCTATCCACTGCTGACCATGACAATTCATGACAAGAATGTTTACACGAATCATGATCCCCAGATTTACACTAGCTCTTACAGCAAAGTTACCTTTCTGCAGAAGTTCATCAAGGGCTTTCCTTGCCAATGAGCCTCGAACTTTCAGTCTCTCACTGACCACAGATGGTGTGATCAGCTTCCATATCGGAACTTCCTTCAGTAATTTCTCATATGTTGCTTTATCAAAAAGTACCTGATTGTTCAACTTGTCACGAACTTTTCCTTTTGACCACTTCTGCAAACATAAGAGGGTAAAAAGCCAAAAAACCTCAATAACTCTACAAATGATCTTAATTCATGAGCAATGATTTCCTTCAGTGCAGATTCCATCAGTCTCATTAAATCAGTGTTATGTTTGCCATCATTTTGTTCTGGACCATTGAGTCATCACATATGGATTACTGCAGATTAATTCTAATTAAAAAATAATCACATCACACGACAAATAACTTCTGTTAACGTATGGTTATTACTAAAAACTTCGGAAATTCCGCCAGAAACAGATGAGCTTCACATCTACAAATACAAGTAAAAGTAAAGTGTGTCCCACTATACGCCATGTAGGCGTTTGGGGTGAGTGGAGGTATAGCTCCTCTCTTCCTTGACCTCGGCACTAGATGGGGGTGAGTGGTCAGCATCACGCCCCAGCCGGCTTTACCCCCGGGAAAGGACCCTGATACCCATTGTAGAGGAGGCTGGGTGGGCCCCAGAGCCGGTCTGGCCGCAGAGGCTGGAGGAAAAATCCTCTGCCCCCATTGGGGATCAAACCCCGGCCGTCCAGCCCATAGCTAGTCACTATACTGACTGACAAATACAAGTACACTAGAAAAATATTAAAGGGGTAATGGGTTTTTGGCAGTGTGGACTGAGAAATATGGAAACACTTCACGCATACTGCGGAACATGGGTTACTCAAATTGTTGCTTCATGTCCGAAAGGACATGGTGCATATATTCGCAATAATCTACTCTGCTGGTAACGATGAAACTACCTGGAGTAACATTTCAGCACCTGATGAACAGTGCTTTAAGTTTAAGGACAACAATGCACGAGACATAAGTGACATTGTTTAAGAAAACATTATCAAAAGGGTCAATTGTGAATACAAAAAGCAAATTGGAACACAATTCTAATAGACATTATGTGGTAACTATCGATGCAGAAGTTTATTGCTCGAATATTAGATAACCATGACATTAACAACGTTGATGCCGATTTTGGGTGCTGGCACTGTGTAGAAGTACGTTTGTTGCCAACATATCAGAGGACCATACTGCCTCTATCACAATCACAAAAACATTAAATCTGAAACTAATACACATATAATAAATAATAAAAACTCTTATAGAAAATGTTTAACATATTTCTGTTTTCACAACAGGTATATGCTAAACATAAAACCTGTTTCATATAATGACTTCCAGTGGTAGCAGAGCCAAAAATGAGGCCATGGGCAAGATTGATTAGCAAGGCCCCTCACCTCTGTGGAACTAACTCAAGCAATTCACACAGGTCATTTTTCCGGGTGTGTAAATCCCACTGTGGGTAATTATTTCGGTAACATATTTAAATAGAGACTGTCTACAAAGGCCAGAATATTAGGTTAAGCTTTAATTGTAATGAAAATATAGTTCATGCTTTTTTTTTGTAACTTACGCAGCACTTCCTTGGAATGCTGTATACCAACAAACATTAAATGTGTTGAATATGCAATCTGGCAAACTACACCATTGTTGATGAAGTAAAATACCCAAGATGCCAACAATTATCAATTACTCAGAAACATGTAAGTACAGATGTGAGGCACACAAGGCCCTGGGAAATCATCTACTTCACCACCACTGCTAGCTTTATTCCACACTATATGCTGAGTTCTGAATAGTTTCTTTGTGGGACTCCAGAAATTGCAAATTTTTCATGCATCTCTTAGGAAGATCTTAGCACCGAGTGGGTTACATTATTCCAATTAATTTTTCTACTGTCAGTATAAAGATTAGGCTATAAGTTGAACAGATGGGGTCCCATTCCAAACTAACTCTGGGGGCCATTCAACCTCCTAGCCAATTAGTACCAGGGTTTCCTTGGGAAGATGGGGGAAAAAAGAGTGAGAGGTATGAAGCAAACCATATCCATCTAATGGTGAGGTTATGAATGCTTAGATCTATACCTACACTTTCCCTATTTCCACATGATATGGCACTTTACCTCTGCTTCTAAACTGAAGAACAGACTATTAAAAATACTTTTCATTGTTAGCATGATTACCAATGCCTTATACACAACAATCTGAGTTCCGTAACAAACCTTCTTTTTAGCTTTTCCTCCAGAACCTCCTTCTTTCTTTTTCTGAGTCTTCTGTGGCTGCTTAGAAGAAGATCCTTTTGAATCTTTTTTGGGAGGCTAAGAACAAAGTAGAAATTCCGCATAAATGTAAGATAACTTTTCTGGCACGATATTGCTCACAAGCCTATTTCTTAACACCGAGCGGCATGGAATTATACATTATGAAAGACCATCTGTGAAACCCACCAATATGTACAACTGAATTGGAGCAAACACCACGCGGCAAAGGCTTGAAAAGCCACTTTCTACGTATAATAACATAAACTATTCATATCTGAGTTAAACGCGGAAGAAATTAATTCCATGTTACAATTAAATAAATCGTAAAACATATTGAAGAAACACAAAATACAATACAAAAATTAAAACATTGATTTCCACTTAACTTACCATGATTGGAAGCCACTGGCAGAGGAAATGGAAGTATTTGTGCTGCACTCTATGTTACCCGTGTCCACAACTTTCATGGACGCATTCAGAAATAATTATCGTTGATCTCTGCCATACATTTATGCTATTCATCAAGGAGCAAACTTTGACAATAGACTCTGCGTGGATTAAATCCTTGCGGAATATTTGTTGTATAATTTTCCAATAACCAAATCAGTAAGGCATTCTAGAAAATACAACACAGATTGGGATATTATTACATGACCATAGCAGTATTAAACTACCTGGCATATCACATGTATAACAATTGTCGTCATTAAATTGCATGCTTCAAGATAGCGGACTTCACCAGAATGTTGGTATTATGTGCGAGGACAGTGTTGCTAGCTTTGATACATTGCGAGTTTTGAGCTGTCTTCACTCGCCTAGACTCCGCTATTCGTGCTATAGTTATAAGATTTTGCTGTGACCTTGAAACCAGCAATTTGGAAAGGCTAACACGGATATGGAATGGCAGGAACCATGGTCATCAAATAATTATTCTCACGGATCACCTACATATAGAACTCTGACCAAAATATACGCTCCATGCAATACTTTTCACCAGAAATAATTCCGTTTTATGTCCAATTTGTTATTTCTACAGTTTTTCTTTCTCCGTTGTAGGAACTGGTGACAAATTTCGGTGTGTTTCTTCCAGTTGCTGTTAGACCGTTGGTAATGTGTACACTAGCGCACAGAAAAAACAAAAAAACAAAAACAAAAGAAGGTGACATTGATGACAACACTGTCGTCTAGACGTCGCGTATAGTAGCGACGTGTGCAGGTCCATGTTTGTCGAAAAATAGGCACCGAAGTACGACGTGTGCCAATATGGAAGGTGGAATACAAGTTTTGTGCCGGTGACGATTCATGTATGATAATAGTTCCATCTGGATGACATTTTTTCCGAATGGTCTGCTACGGTAACCAAAGTATTTCCAACAGGAAGTGTGAGTTATATATAGTCCCTTTATATGGTTGAGGTTTGAATAACAGTAAATGATTTTCTGAGAATTGAATTGTTAGTCAGGTGTAACTAAAATGAAATGCGTTATAATGAGTTCATATTTAATATGTGCGATACACTGCATAAATGAAGATATTTTGAAGCTGAAATGATAAAAATGCCATGAGAACATTGTATTTGTAGAGGATTGACTTTATCATTCTTTATAATTTTGCCTTGCTAATGTTGCTATTGTTTTTACAGGAGCACATAATTATATGCTGAAAAATGATTCCTATGACACACAAGGATCCAGCTCACTCACTGGGGTCTCGAATAAAAGAAAAACTTAATGGCTGGATACGCCTGATATTCTCTGACCGCAACTCACGAAACCTGTTTCTTTTCTTGCTTTTGAATCTGTCATTTGCATTTGTAGAGCTGTCATATGGAATTTGGACCAATAGTTTGGGTCTTATTTCAGATTCATTCCATATGTTCTTTGATTGTACAGGTCTGTTGGCAGGCCTTGCTGCTACAGTTATTACAAGGTGGAGAGCAAATGATAAATTTTCATATGGTTATGTACGTGCTGAAGTTTTAGCTGGTTTTGTTAATGGATTATTTCTTCTATTTATTGCATTTTTCATTATGTCTGAAGCTGTGGAAAGAGCTATTGAGCCACCAGAAGTAAAACATGAGCGGCTCTTCGTTGTCTCACTACTTGGTCTTTTAGTAAATCTGGTTGGGATATATGCTTTCCAGCATGGTCATGGTCACTCTCATGGTGGAGGCAGTAGTCATGGGCATTCACATGGAGAGGGAGGACATGCACATCCTCATTCCCATGGTGCAAACCACCATATGCACAACCATGATTCTGGTGACTTTACAGGCAGTGACTCTCAGATCATGAAAGGAGTATTTTTACATATTTTGGCAGATACACTGGGTAGTGTTGGAGTCATCATATCCGCTGTATTGATGCAGATGTTTGGGTGGATGATTGCAGACCCAATCTGTTCCATGTTTATTGCCATATTGATTGCAATTAGTGTCCTAGCATTAATCAAAGAATCTGTGTTGATTTTGATGCAACGGCAGCCACCCGCATTGGATGCTGCATTACCTCAGTGTTATCAAAAGGTGATGCAGTTAGCAGGGGTGTATAGTGTTCAGGAGCCCCATTTTTGGACTTTATGTAGTGATGTATATGTGGGTGCCCTTAAACTTGAAGTGTCAAAAGCATCAGATCCAAAGTATATAGTGAGCCATACTCATATGATATTTGCTGCTGTTGGTGTCAAACAGCTTTATGTTCAATTGGACTATGCCAACATGTGATCATGTCGTGACACAGGTGACTACATCTTTTCATTACCCAGATCACTGCCAATCCTTCAGTGTGGAGTGTGTTATCACAGATGGCTGGCACTAGTTCTTGGAGCATCATGGTGCAAGGAAATGTTGATGCAGCTTACCAGTCTTTCCAGGCAATGGAAGTTTACTAGAGTGAAAGCTGCAAAGACTCGATCCATGGTGGTGTGACTATACTCGTCACTTATTGACAGTATTATACAGTCCTGATATGTCAAAAATTGGGTACATTACTTAAACTCTATCTGCTTACATTCCTTTGTGCATTTGTTTATAGAAACTGTACAAAATGAGGAGTCATATAAGGACAATGTGAAAATAAATACTTCCAGAAGATTGTTCATAAGCAAGATCGCCTAAAGACTTTTAATATAATTGTAATTACTATAAAATGGTGTGATCGTACATAGGTATATATGAAAATAATGCAAGCTATAAGTTATTAACTGCATTTATTTATAATACACTATGCATTTTATGAATGGTGGTGCGTTTATGTATTGCATGTTAGGGTCTGGGGTGCATTTTATGATTGGTGGTGCAATGAGTTTTACACTTCGCTGTTTATGTATTGCATGTTAGGGTCTGGGAAATGATATTCATATTTGTTTATTTGAAGGTTTATGGTTATTTATGAAAGTGTAAATTTTGTTATTACATGGATTTATATTTTAGAAAATACCTAGATTTTTTATCGGAATAATCATATTTATTAACATTTGTGTGATCCAAACAGCCTCAGCTATGCTGGTACATTATACGATTAATTTTGATTAAATAGAAACTGTCTGACAAGATTCAGAATTTCATTAAAATGTGAACATAAATTTTATGTTCATGACTATACATAATTTGTTTTAAAATAATATGCAAGAAAATGATTGATGTACAGCATGTATGAGTAATGGTTGTTTTCCATTATTGTGAATATATATCATAGAGATAAAATGATTTTAATGGGGCTGCAGAAATTCATTTGGCTATTAGTACTTAGTAAATGAAAAATTAAAGGCATATGAGAAAAGAATCCCTTTTTTATTCTAGTAAGACTAATACTTCAAATTAAAATGTTTATTTTACTGATGAAATGAATCAGCATTTCTGCACTACCTCTGGATTGTCTAAGTAGACAGCAATATAAAGTACAACATGGGCAGCCTCAAAACAGGTGATCTTGTCCTGCTAATTCACAGCAGCTCTCATGTACTACTTACTAATGGAAAATCCAAACCAACAGCTTGGTGGTTTATGGTATATATCATATCGAATGTGTATAAATTATGATCACATCAGAGATGTTCAAATACCAGTTCCTGGGTTGGGCGTGGGCCTTCAGAAAGACGTGGCGAGCCATAAAGTAGCCTTTTATGTAAAGAACATGGAGCAGGAACTGAAGTTCATGTGTATTGTTATTGACAAGTATGAAAACTGGCCACTGAATAATTTTCCGCATCCCTCATCCTTCATTTTAACTTATCAGGGTGGCATCATTTTCACAGGATGTTTATCTGGTGCAGGAGCTGTGATTGTGTCCAAACATCAAAGAATCACTAGAACTGTGTTATAAAGAATTTTATTGCACTTAGTACAGGCCACTGGTAAATAAATGTACCACTTGATAATATTCATTAGCATTTAATGTATACATTTGTCTTCATTAGTTTTGTTCAGTTATTAGAATAATAACTCCACTAACCCTATTAACCAAAATGTGAAATGTAATGAACCAAATTTTTAATTATTATATAAACTAGTTTTACCTTTGCGAGGGGTAAATCAATAGCCTTGACTATCTTGTAGTCTCTGGTCAAAATTCATGTATAAATACATGTTAGTATCCTGTCAGCAGAATCATATTAGGGTGGCTAATAAAGACTTTGAAAGTGTGACAAAGCTCAAATATTTGGGAACAACAATAACAAATCCAAATGATATTCACAAGGAAATTAGGAGACTAAATTCTGGAAATGCTTGCTACTTCCCATCTGATTTCTAAGAACCTAAAGATTAAAATATACAAAAAAATGCCCATTGTATGTATCTAAGATGGTGGGGTCTTTTTGCCTTTTGAATGTAGCTGGAAGGTCAGGTAGGGTGCCATTTAAATAATTCTTCAAGAGTTAGTTTGAAATACTCTTGATTATTATGTCATGACTTACCAGGTTCATTGAAGTCAATTCCTGGTATTTTATTACTAGAGAACATGGTTATGTTTCTTATAATGAAGACGTACAACATAAAGAGAGGTAAAGATGTTTTGGCTAGCAATGCAGACAACTGAACCTGTTTTATAATTTATGTACGAGGCTCGTCCACAAAGTAAGTTTCCCTGGGGCCGTTTACAGAAACAAAACACAATTTCATGGAAATATTTATTGCAACAGATACAGCAAGTGTCCAGCTATTTTTCAACATATTCGCCACCGGAATTGAGACATTTGTCATACCGTGGGACCAACTTTTGAATACCTGCGTCGTAGAAGTCTGCCGCCTGGGATTGGGATTACATAAGCTGTGAAGTCAACTTTATCTTCAGAGCCACATGTTACCATTTATTCTAATATAGGTGACTCATTTTCACATGGGTCGTGTTCCTGCGAATTGCATATAACAAAACTGCATAAAATGGGGAAAATATAAGTTGCCATTTGTATGTTAAATTGGTGCCAGAATTGTCTGATGCTAAACTTGTCATTGGTATCACAATCCCTGATAAGCCTGGAGAAAGTTTGATGCTGGCTTTAAAAATTTATCCATGGATGGCATATTTATGCACCTCACAATACTGAAATAGAACCACTGATATGCCAAAACACAGCGAAAGCACATATAATGAGAATCACTTGTACTTGTAAGATTTGAGGTTTTCACAGCAGTGAGTATGAAGATTTCTGTATTGCCATGATGACGGAGGCAATATGACCTCTGAAATGGTAAACATCGACCAGACTACACAGCGCAACAACCCAGAAGACAGAAATCTTCATACTCTGATGACAGAGGCAGTATGACCTCTGAAACGTTGGTTAACATCGACCAGACTACACAGCGCAACAACCCAGAAGACAGAAATCTTCATACTCTGATGACGGAGGCAGTATGACCTCTGAAACGTTGGTTAACATCGACCAGACTACACAGCGCAACAACCCAGAAGACGGAAATCTTTACTTGTACTTGTTTGGAACAACTGCATTTTTTATACAACTGTGCCATAACTAGGAATTTACTAGAAATAACCTTGACTCTAGTAGCAATTTCATCTAACCAGAGAACTCACAGATTAACCTTTCCTGTATGGGAAGAGGAGATTTAAAAGTTTTTTTCGTGTAAGCTATTCTGAGATTCACATTTTTGGCAGGTGACATTGCTTTGTGAATGGCTAGTTTTCTTGTGTTTCAGAGAAATTATAAGTAGCAGACCACTATAAAAGCCTGAAGACTTATATTTTTACTAAATTAACTAAAACCTTTCCTGAGTTTAAGTACAGGGTAGACCACTTCCTGGCCCTCATATGCTACATCTGTGCAGGGATGCAGTCAGTAAAGGTAGCTGTAGCTTGATGGTAAGCTGTTGCGGTGGCTTTTATAAATTGTAATAAAAACGTACCAGTGCAGATGTTGAAAATCGTGCCCTTCTGATTGAATGAACTCGGTGTATCTGCGGAACAGATTGGTGTTAACTCTCTGGAGTTCTTCACTGGAAATTGCTGAAATCTCATAGCAAATGTTTCTTAGAGTGAGGGGATTTGTTTTATACACTTCATCTTTTAAACTTACCCACAGATAAAAAGTCACAAGGTGTGAAATCAGGAAAACGTGGGGGCCACAGACCATGGTTAGTTGTGTAGTCACTGACATTCTGCAGCACTTACAAACTCATGTGCTATATGAGCTGTTGCAGCATCCT